CGCGTGTTCTAGAAGTTAGTGCCAACTCAAGAGGTTCGCTTAAATATTTCCCTCAGCCGCTGAAAGTAGAGAGTCCTGATATGTTTTCAGTGTATATATAATATATTTGGTGGGAAGTATTTTAATTTACTAACTAACTTTATGGAGCTGAGCCGTTCTTGAGAAGCCACCAGCCGCTTAGCTATTCAATAAATTTCCAACATTTTATGGGATTTGAAGGTTCATTACCCTTTTCACAATAGCCCTTCACTGGTCCCTGTCCCGAGCCACATCAGCCCTGTTCCTTCCCGTTCTGTTTCTTCAGAAAAGATACAAGCTCGGGCAAATAACTTNTTTTGGCCGCGCCATAGCTCAAGCGGTTAGTCGCTGGCTTTCCACCGCGGCGACCCGGGTTCGATCCCAGGTCTGGTCAAGTGGGATTTGTGGTAGACAACGTGGCGCTGGGGCAGGCTTGCAGGTTTCCCCTGCCAATCTTCATTCCACCAATTGCTCCACAATCACCCTCACCTATCATCTGGGGCTGGTACAGTAGGCCAGAAGTGGCCGCAGTACAAGGGACTTAGTCCCACCCCACTAGCATTAAAATTATTTTAAAATATTATTTTTAAGAACTGCAGATATTAACAACCAAGAATTTTTCGAAGTAATCTCCCTCAAATTCTTTACAATGTACCTAGCGTTTCGGCCATTGTTGAAAACAGCTTTTAAAATCCTTAAGTGGATTATTTTTTTTTTCACGGATGATTTAATATCCTCAACGTCAGAGAGACGCTTTCCTTTCAGCACACTCTTAGGTAGGCCGCACATCGACATGCGTCAAGACATGTAACAGTCAAGACATGATGTCTGCGACATGACGCAAAGAAAGGAGCACAGTTAAAACTAACGAGATTTTGAAAACCGCCGCACACCGGTCTGAGTCATGATGCTGACGAATCACGAATGAAGCAAGACTGCGTCTTTGGTCTCATGTCTTGATGCTTGTCTTGACGCAGTTGATGTCCGGCCGCCCTTTGAGTTCTAGAGACAGCCAGAAGTCAGGACGGTACGGCGGAGGGTCCACGGCAGAGGTGCCTTTTCCTGCTAAAAACTGCGACACTCGAAACAAAGAATGTGCGGGGGCTTTGTCGTGGCGAAGAATCGATGCGTGATCTCTCCACAACTGTCCTCGCTTGCGCCTCACGGCACTAATAAGCCTTTTCAACACCTCCACGTAGAATGTCTGTTTAACAGTGATCCCTTCGGGTATAGATTCAAAGTTGATGAGACCCCTAATGTCGATCTCAGACCACGTTTTCAATAAATTATTATTTTAACCACTATAAAGTTGGTACTGACTTCTCCGACAAGCGGCGGTCGCTCGGTCGGTATAGTTCGCTTGCGGACTAAAACAATGTAGTTTATTTTTTGTTTAGGTTTTCTGATGAAATAAGCCCTGTAATTTCGAAGAATTCTGCATAATGCCTAAATACAAACATTAGGACCCAGTACTGAAAATACTGCATCAGAGGGAATTTCACTACGTCTTTCATGAATCATAACCAACGCTTTTCTGTTATGGTAGTTAACAGTGTTGAGGTGTTTGTTCGCTTAATAAGTTGGGTTTTATGTAGGAAGTGGAACTGACCCATTGCAAGGCCTCTACATGCACAGTGACTCACAGAAGAGCGTGTAGTTTCATGTCCCAAGTAGGATTCGAACCTATGATATCAGTGGTCTAGCGGTGAACCTCAGAACGTGAGACCACTCTCATGACGGATTTCTCTGTTTAATGTGAAAATGTATTTCATAACATCATGCTTGGATTAAAACACGAAAGGAAGAAAAGCTGGCTGGAACATCTACAGAAGATGCCATCAGAAAGAGCTGCCAAGCAAGTTCTGTGTTATCGACACATAGGAAGAGGTAATCCAGGAAGACCAAGAAGAAAATGACTTGATGTTTGATGATTGGATTTGTTCAACCGTTCATGCTTTAATGGGGAGCACATAAGTGAGTGAAGGCGGATGACCTTCAGGAAACCAAACCTGGAACTAAAATTTTTCATGATCACAGTCATTTCTCATACGACGTGGGACTAAGTCCCTTGTACTACGGCCACTTCTGGCCTATTGTACCAGCCCCAGATGATAGGTGAGGGTGATTGTGGAGCAATTGGTGGAATGAAGATTGGCAGGGGAAACCGAAGTACTCGGAAAAAACCTGCCCCAGCGCCACTTTGTCCACCACAAATCCCAGTTGACCAGACCGGGGATCGAACTCGGGCCGCCGAGGTGGGAAACCAGCGACTAACCGCTTCAGCTATGGTGCGGCCTAGATTGTAATATAAAAAACTATAATTTTACTCGTTGTTTCGTATGGGTGTGAAACTTTGTCTCTCATTCCAAGGTAAGAATTTCCTGTAGATTTATGTCTGAGAACGGAGGGCTTAGGAGAATATCTGAACATAAAGAGAAGGAAGTAACAGGAGGTTGGAGAAAACTACACAATGAGGAGTGTTATTTTAACGTGAGTGAGGCATGCAACACGCACGGGAGAAATGCATACAAACTTTTAGTCTGAAAGTGTGAGGAAAAATACCATTTTAGAAGACCTAGATATACTCGTAGATTGGGGATAATATTAAAATGGATTTAACCGACGCAGGATACAGACTAGCCTGCTGTGAGTGCTGAAATAAACGTTCTGGTCCTGTTCCTCAAGAATGACTTCGTTTCGCTGTGCCCTTAGGCTCTTTTTCTGTTGTTTGTAAAATTGTGACTGGACAGAATTAAACGATAACAATTACACGTATTACTTCCCGCTGTTTCTATTTTCGTCCGAGATAAAATTAAGTGTTTCATGTTTCTTGGAGCAGAAAGATTATGTTATAGTCTACAGTGACGTGTTTATGTAGTCTTTTACACTAATCCAGTTTCTGTGAAGTGAACTTCACAATTTTCTAGTTTGTTTTACTTGTGCAACGTGCAGTAAATTGATGCGAGATTTGAGTTACAGCCTCCCAGCCATATTGAAGTGTTATCATTAAACAATATTGAAAAAAAAATACTTCTGTGGATTTATAGACAGAGAATGGAAATTGTCAAATTAAACTTCGATTTCTGCTGTAATCCTACTCATTTTACGTAATGCATTGTTACGTAATCGGACAGTATCTAACTTCGCGAGTTAAAATATTACGTAACAAAATTGTGAAAACGTAACAAAAGAACTTCTGGGAAAGGCTTTTTGTTCATACTCTCCTTCAAATGCTACGACGAAGTAGAATTTCTTTTATTGCTAGTGGGGTGGGACTAAGTCCCTTGTACTGCGGCCACTTCTGGCCTATTGTACCAGCCCCAGATGATAGGTGAGGGTGATTGTGGAGCAATTGGTGGAATGAGAATTGGCAGGGGAAACCGAAGTACTCGGAGGAAACCTGCCCCAGCTCCACTTTCTCCACCACAGTTCCCACTTGACCACTTGACCAGACCCGGGATCATACCTGGGCCACCACGGTGGGAAGCCAGCGACTAACCGCTTGAGTTATGGCGCGGCCTAAGTAGAAATTAATAATTGTACTAATTGGTCCATTTATGGCATAATTTCCACTAATACAGATTCTAATTGTGTTAGTTTTGTTATCTATACCTTGTTATAAAAGTCTAACGCTTATTGTTTTGTGGGGATGTGTGTTCTCAGTGATAATTATTAGTAGTTACAAGTAAGAGCATAAGATTACATTGGTTGAGTCTGTAAACTGATGTACATTTTTGAAGAACAAAGTTAATATCGTATATGAACATAGTAAAACGCTATTTGTTGCATATTAGGTATCTTCCTCCCCCCCCCCAAAAATTCAAATTATTGAGGTTATGTTTCTTTGGAAAATTTTGTTCTATATGCATAAAATGTTGCACGCACAAAAAAATTTTTTTCTTCGTGTAGTCACGAGTATTATGCCCCAAATTCAATAATTATGAAGGGTACGCTCCCATTCACGCCTTGGTTTTCCAGTTGAAATCTTCGGGTTTTTCTACTGCACAATTTTGTACGAATTTCCAGTTTCATGCGTGCCACATGCCACGCCCATATCCTCATTGATTTGACGACCGTTAATAATATTTTATAAACAGCAAAAATTAGTAAGATTCTAATTATGTTACTTTTTCCATCCCCCTGTTACTTTCACTCCCTTAGATCCACATATTCTCATCATCCCTTACTCCCGCATTTTCCTTTAAGTTGAAAGACCAAATTTCACACTCGTATAAAACAAGAGGTGACGTTACAGTTATGTATATTTAAATCTTTAGGAGGAGGAGGGGGAGGGATAATAAGAATCTGAACTTAATAACCTAATTTTTGGTTTAGCGAATTTCACGTTACTACTGTTATTCTCAGGCTACAAGCCGGCAGGTCCCGATGAGGTCATTGGATTTTCTCAATTGACCTAATCCTTCCAGCCGCACTATGGCCCTGGGGTCGACTCAGCAGGAATCTTCCGGGGGGTAAAGGATACCGGAGCGTGAGACTGACAGCCTTACCGCCATCTGTGAGCCGATTGTCTAGAAAATATGCGAACCTCAACATCTCACAACCCTATGGGCCTCCACGGCCTTTTACAGGGATACCTTTACTTTACTTTACTTTACTTTCTGTTATTCTCAGTTTTGAAATCTATCAAATATTCTTACATTTGTTAGCTATTTTGTTTCACACTCGGATGACGAGACATAAGTGTCAGCCGTGTCAGCTTTCATTTCGACACCAACTTCCTTACCATATACAGTCTAATTGAATTTATGTAATCCTCTTTTTGGTATTTATGACTCAACCCAATAAATAAGCATCATCTCGCTTTCAGAGGGTAAAGGCGAAAAATTCGTAGGTCATGGTAAATAAGTGACATCGTTCTGCGCAGTCTCAAATAGGTCGGGTGCAACCAGAATCGATTGAACTTGGCCTTCGAAATGAAATGCTGTGTTACAATATGATCTACACTCAGTCAGTCACTCGCCAGCACTCGCCAGCCCGTTTGGCACGTTTATTTCTTCATTATACACTGTCATATTGCAGGGATGATGTATGACCCGTGGAATTATCTATTGTGTGTGTAAGAGAGCCGAGGTGGAGTCAGTGGCGCATGTTAGTTCGTGTATCGCTTGATTAACAGGGTAACTCGGGTACATCCAAGTGAATGGGAGAAATTTGAGGTAAAGTAAAGTAAAATTAAGGGCAAAACAAAAAAAAACTTTCGTTTATCTATTATATTAAGTTAATTATAGAGTAATATTATTTTGATTATTTTTAAAGATATATTTTGTTTTTGTTTTAATATATATATGTTGTGAGCTTCAACTTCCCCTATTACTGTCATGACAGTACGTCATTTCATTATTTATTGTATTTAGAAATTCAAATATATCTTCAAGGAAAACACCGCTGTCTGTTCTGTCCGTAGCAAATGACTCAGTACCACAGTTAAATGCTTTTGAGCCATTGTAATGCGTTATGAGTGCGGTTTGAGGTGCGACAAAAAAGACCTGAACTCTTGCGCAACCACAAATGGCTGCGTCATTACGACTACGCGCCCGCCCACACACCTGTGACTAACAACATGGCTATCGTTCCCTATCCTCCCTACTCGCCGGACTTAGTCCTCAGCGTTTCCTCTTTCTTTCCCAAACTGAAAATAAAACTGAATGGACGACGTTTCGAAACAGTGTCTGACACGCAAAAGGAATTGTAAGCGGTACTCAGCAGTATTAAGGAAAATGACTTCCACGGTGCTTTCGAAACGTAGAAATAACGAAGGGATCGCTGTATATGTTCCCAAGGAGACTGTTTTGAAGGAAATGGCAGCCAGAATTGAGTAAGTTAAGCCAGTATTTCTATTTGACATAGTCCGGGAACTTTTCGATACACCTCGAATTTGTTACCTCTGCACTAGTTAGAGGTGTGTGGTCAGCTTCACGACCCGGCAGTTCTTCCCCTGGGAAATAGCCTACAGTACCTATTGGATAAGAGGCTGCATGGGCACCAGAACCGGTCTGGACGTCGTGAAAAGGAGAAAAATCTTGCCCCTACCGGGACTCGAACTTCGATCCCACGGTTGTCCAGTATCCAGTCCGTATACCGACTGTGCTATGCCAGCTTTTATTTAGAAGTAAATATGAGGGAGAATATTTCGATGTAAGGGAAAGGAACTAACAGGCTACAGAATATTGCAAAATGGAGAGTCTTGTAATTAAACACTAACCACTAAGTGTTGTCAGGGTGATGATAACAAGGAAAATGAGAGGGGAAAGTGTTTCTGGTACATACTGTAGACATCAGACATGTTGTATGAGTCCGAAAAATCTGAAGGGAGTAGATTACTTGGAAGACCTAGGTGTAGATAAGAAGATAATATTAAAAATGAGTTTGGAAGTGTAACTTCTTAAGACGTGGACTCGATTCATCTGGCTCAGGATAGTCGCTGGCGTTGGGCTCTTGTGAATATAGTAATAAATATTTGTGTTCCATAGAAGGAGGGGATTTTGTCCAGTAGATGAGCGACTATCAGTTTCTGAGGAGCGACTCCGCTCCATGTAGTTATACAGTAGAGGCTCCGGTGTAGAAAACCGAGATTAAGGGCCGTGGGATTCCGTTGCGCTGACAGCGCGACACTCTCTATCGGATAAAGTTGGCACTAACTTCACCGACAAGCGGCGTTCGCTCTGTCGGTATAGTTCGCTTGCGGACTACAAGCCAAGGAGTTTTTTATTTGTTTGTGGCTGATTTGGGTGGGTTCTGGTGTTTGAACTCTTCGGCGGCGAATGAAGCCAAGCTTCTGTTAAAATATTATATCTTAGCGTCATATCGTGTGTATGATATTTCTTTGTGTTATTCCGTATCCACTGTAGGTAGTATGGACAGTCTGCACATTCGTCATTTCTTAACATGTTTCGGCCCATTAAGCCATCAGCGGGTATTTGACTTTTGTACAAAATGACCCGTAGCATCGTTAAGTGTTATTGGTTATAAAAGTTGTACTTCAATATTTCATTTTCCTTAATGTGTTTCGGTCGGGTTGACCATTTTCAGAAAGACAGGATCAGCATTCAGAAAACCACAATTACAATGTCATTAATATATAACAGTTATACCTTGTAACTACATTAAGTACATGAAGTGGTTGGAACATAACTAAATTATTTGCAAAGTCAAGTATTTAAAAGTAAAGTTATAAAAACTTTCTGTGAAAACTAGAACCAGTGGTATTGTGACGTACCAGGATGAACCAAGTCAAGTTTATTTGACTTTTATTTTACATTCGCATGTACTCGTATTTGCTACATTATCCAATGTTTGCATTTTGGAATAATGTTTTTTAGTAATACGTAATGTTGTTATGTATAAAAAGATGTGCTCATATCGACGATTAATTGTTAAAATGTATAATTATTAAAATGAAACTTATATAAAAAGGTTTTATCATGTTTTGTCTGGATATAGTAATTGTGTGTATATGTCTCTCTGCTACCGATGCATATATTCAGGGATTTCCCTAGTCTTGTATTGATCTAATCTGTGCTTTGTTGGCTTGTAGGTATATGAGAATGTTTCTCCTTGTCTCTGTTCTTGTATTTTAGAGAAGTGTTGTGTCTTGTATGTGACCGCCTCTGTGGTCTGGTGGTCAGAGTTCCTGGCTACAGATACAGAGGTCCTGGGTTCGATTCCCGGCGCTACCAGAAGTAGTGGGCCTGGAACGGGGTCCACTCAGCCTTATGAGGATAACTGAGGAGCTATTTCAAGGAAATAGAGGCTCCGGTTTAGAAAACCGAAATTAACGGCCGTGGGGATTCGTTACGCTGACCACACTACATACTCTATCCGCTAAAGTTGGCACTAACATCGCCGACAAGCGGCGGTCGCTCGCTCGGCATAATTTGCTTGCTAACTAAAGCCACGGATTTTCTTTAGTTAGTTTTGTTTTGTTGTATCTCCTATGTGGTGCTTTTGATTATGTGGCGGATTTATGTATAATGGCATTATGTACCACTAAAGAACCAATATTCCGATATGTAAACACTGGTCAATGTAGGAATAATAGCAGACAAATACAGGTGAATATAAAAGAGGTCAAATAAGGGATCAATGAGCGGAAACATTTTGTAAGCTTCTGCCGTCCACGCACAGGTCCCCGATGACCAAGATGGCTGTAGGCTGGAACAAGTTCACTCTTCTCATGTGGAAGAACTGGACCCTACAACGTAGGCATCCCATTCAAACGGCGGTGGAGATCCTGGCTCCAGTCCTGCTAGCATCACTTCTGGTCCTGATTCGAAGCCTTGTTGCTCCGGAAAACTTCGGCACTGTTACCACATACGAGCCTTTCTCAGTGGATCATACAAATGGTACTATCTTCAGCGAGACAACAATACAGAAGATATTTATGCCGTTTATCAAAGCATCGCCATATGCTTACAGGTAAGTAGAGGCTATTTTAGTCTTCTTAGTCTGATCGTTTCATTGGACGTCTCTGTGTGTTCCGAAATAATTAATTTCAATTTGATTCTCTTTATTTACGTGAAAACTTAACAGCCTATAGTTCAATTACAGAGCACGAGTAAGAGAAATGAAACAGAAAAAATAACTTCCAAACAAAACACGAAACAAAGAAGTTTATATAGTAATAATAGTAGCAGTAACAATAATACGTATTTCGCCTGGTTGAATGTATCATGTGTTTTGCTATGAAGTTGGTAGCAATGTCGACAAGAAGAAATTTTAAGAACTCGAACTGGAGGAAATATTTTCTGTCGCACACGTATCNCACGGCGCCAAAACCCAGAAGACGTCTTTCTTCATAGTCATCGCCGTGAAAACCTCAAAACTTATACATAGGCTTATTTGACAGAGGTTAATCTCATCCTAATGTGAGGGAAATGATGAGGATAATTCAGTTATTTATTTATTATGTGCTTACTCAGCAGCCAAAAGGCCAATCATGAAGTAAGCACGAACAAAAGAAAGAAGCAAAACGCATTATTTCCCTAAATTGAAGAGAAGCAAGGAAACTCGTTACATTTGGACGATTATAACAATTCCATTAGTGCAGTTAATAATGACAACAAGAATAATATATCCTACCCATAATTAATAGGCAATTCCTGTCACGGTCGGGGAATACCCACCGCTCGATTGTAGTGCCAATGCCAATATGTTGGGGAAAATCAGAACTAAATAGACAGCTCCTGTTTCACACGATTTTAGGGCGGGAATGGGAAAGAAAGCTGGAAAGGCTATGAAGGTATGAACATACGAGAATAACATATCCGTTTTGGCCTCTCAGATCACCCGATCTCAGTCCATTAGATATATTTTTTTGAGGAGTTACGTGAAAGATAAATTACATTACAAAGTGACTTCGCTACAACGGTAGTACTAGTACAAACTTTAAAAGGGAAAATATCATAAGCTGTAGCTACAGTTACACAAGATACATTGCAGTTCACGTGGCAACGGAGGAATTTCGGTCTCAGATTATACTGAGCTACAAACGGACCTCATGTCGAAATTATAGATTAAAAATAAACAAATTTTTGTAAGAAGTGATTCGTTTTCTCGCTCTACTTATTATATTCTATCAATATTTAAAACGTATGTTATTGAAGAAAGCAGTCTTCTGGGATTTGGCACCGTGTATATGTGGTGTTAACCGACGTTTCGGAGGAACGTATCGCCCGAAACGTCGGTTAACACCACATATACACGGTGCCAAATCACAGAAGACTGCTTTCTTCATAGTCACCGCCGTGAAAGCCTCAAATCTTACACGTATGTTATTGTTTCATGCATATCGTCACATGGGAAAAATTCAACACTACACCTCGCAGTGCCACAAGTTTTATTCACCTGTCAACCTGAAATAATAAATATACTCGCAGGATGTTATGTAAGAAACTTCCTCGGTTGGAACGTGTGAATAATCGATTGTATTTCTCGAAACACGGGACATGACCAGCGGAATATCAATAATCTGACAATTCCATAAACATATGGATATGTCTAAGTTTGCTGCCTTTTGTTCGTTCTAACCTAAAACTTCAGAACGTATTTTGATGCCACAAAACGATGACTAAGAGTTTACTATCTATGGTAGAAGTTTAACGACATTTTGGAGGAATGTACAGCCTTCCACTTCCATGACTGTAAGTAAGCCAAGCAAGCAAACAATCAGGCAAACAAGCAATCATCTAGCACCAGATAAAGTCTATTTACTGTTTGCTTGGTTTACAATTTTCAAGCAAAATCTAGAGTTTTATAATGTTAAATCGTATGTTACATGTACTAAATATTGGGCTTCGAAGGATTAATTTTATAAAGTAGGCTTTTTGCACTTCATGATCTTCGAAGCATTTGTCAATATAATGTTTACCCTAGTTATCTGGTGCCAAAGATTTCCACAAACATTATAATTCATTTTGTTCACTGGCTCTACAGCCCCCTTGGGCCCTGGCCTCTGATTTTCAGTTTCATGATCATTTTGTAGACGGTAGGACTCCTTGGATGAATGATCAGCTCGTGGCAAAACATAAATTAATTATCAGAAGGTCGCGGGTTCAAATACCGATGAGGTCATTGGACTTTTTTCAGTTGACCTAATCCTTCCAGCCGCACTATGGCCCTGGGGTTCACTCAGCCTCTAACAGAAATGAGTACCAGGAATTAAATAAATAATTTTCCTGGGGGGTAAAAGGCGGCCGGCGCGTAAGGCTGACAACCTTACCGCCATCTTTGAGCCGATTGTCCAGATAATGTGGGAGCCTCGACGTCTCACAACCCTATGGGCCTCCACTGCCTGTTACAGGGATACCTTTACTTAACCTCACCACCATCTGTGAGCCGACTGTCTAGAGAAAATGTGGGACCCTCAATGTCTCACTACCCTATGGGGCTTCACGGCCTGTAACAGGGATACCTTTACTTTTTCTTTTATCAGAAATTGAGTTTGTGTGTATCACATGAGGATAGCAACATCAAATATATATATTCTGAAAAATATATTAGGCTGCACCCCTTATGTGTTGAAAGTTTCATATGACTGATGCATTTGGATCTTCAGTTTTCATCTGAGCATCCCATATTTGATCTATTATTAATTATACAACTCCATTGAAAATTAAAAGCGTTACGAATGACTATAAATTCTTAAATATGTCATTAATTAATATAACCAGATCATCATCATCATCATCATCATCATCATCACTGGCACGAAGGCCCTTTGTGAGCCCTGGCCTTCCTCAGGATTGCTCGCCATTCTTCTCCATTCGATGCTACATTCCTCCAGTTCTTTACACCCAAAATTCTTATGTCCTGCCACACACATTCTTCCCATCTTAATCTTCGTCTTCCCACTCTCCTATTTCCTTCTGGTAACCAGATCATCAGTAAATGGAATAGCTGACAGATCCAGAACTTCATTATGACATATTTAAAAAAAATGGCAATTCTAGTATTACAAAATGACAATCACTCTAAAAATATGTTTTCTATAACATCAAAATTCATTCACTAGTTAAATACAGTTATGTACAGCTGTGTTCATTTTGAAGTCTGAAGGTGGAATGTTATATACAAAACTATAATTTTGCCCGTGGTTCTATATGGGTGTGAAACTCCGTCTCTGACATTAAGGGAGGAACATAGACTGAGGGTGTTTGAGAACAGGGTATTGAGAATATTTGGACCGAAGAGAGATGAAGTGACAGGAGGTTGGAGAAAACTGCATAATGAGGAGATTCATAATTTGTATGCTTCTCCAAGTATAATTAGAATGATCAAGTCAAGGAGGATGAAATGGTCAGGGCATGTAGCACGAATGAGAGAGAGGAGGAATGCGTATAGGATATTGGAGGGAAAGCCGGAAGGAAGGAGACCACTGGGAAGACCAAGACATAGGTGGATGGACAATATTAAAATTGATCTTAGTGAGATAGAATGGGATGGTATGAATTGAATTGATCTGGCTCAGGATAGAGACCGGTGGAGGGCTCTTGTGAACATGGTAATGAACCTTTGGGTTCCATAAAATGCTGGGTAGCTCTTGAGTAGCTGCACAATTGACAGTTTCTCAAGAAGGGCTCAGCTCCATGAGTGAGTGAACGTGGAATTCTTGCAAACGTCATGTGTAGTCAGTCACCTTCTTCTCCGTGGGAAAATATTTTTCTATCATTACGGACTAGTAAATGAAGATCTTAAATTTGTTCTTGGAACTCACAGCCCACCATATGGAAATTTAGTTTTCTTTTATTCAGAAAATATATAGTATGTAAATTTGTATAAATATACAGCTGTGATATGCTTTATAAAATAATAGTTTATATTATTCATCAGTCTCACACAATACTCTGTTTTCTGCCCTTCATTGCAGACAGAAGGATCGTCCCACAAGGTCAGTAGTTTGTACATGTGACAATGGTAATTAATTTAATGTCTGCAGGCATATATTGTCACAGTAAAATTAATGCTCAAGGGAAAATGAAACTCGTGGAAAGCAGTTGCATGGACCTAAATTGTTCAAATGTTGCACTACAGTAACAATACATGTCCCTGGTCCAGATGGCTGAGCATTTATTTTCTTCCGATATTAATACAATTACCCTCCAGCCACTGACTTCACAACACCAGGGTGTTTAGAGTTCAGTTTTCCCAGATGATAAATTTAAAAAAAAAATTTTTGAAGTATGTAGCTGAAGCAAATGTGTCAACTTTTCATATCCAGTGACGATTCTGTTTGCAGACACTTTTCGACATTATTTATATCTTACCCACTAAAATATGTTATCATAAGAAGAGTTATTTGTCCTTTATGCACAACCAGATATGCATGTCTTTGGTTATGACTTTTGGTTACCAAAACCAGTTTTAAGTAGAAATAATTTTAGGAGCCCAAAGGATTTCATACTGTGAATTTTCTTCATTTTTATGCCAATATATAAGCATTGTGACATAATTCTTCCCATCTTTTCTCATTTAATTATCAATGTCCTTGTGAAAAATAGTAAATCCTATAAATCCACAGTTCCAGGCCTGTATTACATATTTCTGCTTGATGTAATGGCCAGTTTCCCAGTTCTTAAACACACAAATTTCCCTACTCATCATTCTTCTGCAGAGGATGGCTGACATGATTTAATTAGCAATTTGACTGAAACAGTAACATTCGTATTTGGAAGCCATCTAGTTTGGATCTTAACAGGACACAGATTTTGAGTTTTTCTTTGATCCTTGTAGGAAAATGCCTAGGCAGTACCTTGAACTAGGATATGACTACCGACTTCTGCATGCTTTCCAATTCATTCTTCACTATTATCCAATCATTCAAAGTCATATAGTCAAGAGTTACAAATAACATAGTTAAATATATTGAAAATAACAATAGACATTATGATTTGAAATTTCTTTACCACTTGTAGATGACATGCAGCAAAATGAAAGCTACATGGCATAATGTTAGGAAGTACAATTTTCTATATTTTACAAATACAAATTTGCAAGCAGGGTTTTAAAAAAATTCCTGATGATATTTCATAATGTGTGTAGATGCAGTGTTAGTTGACTCTGCATGACATCAATACCCATCTCTGCATAGCCAATTCCAATAGGCAACGAAACAATTTATTACATAATCTAAGGGTATTTTTGTGTAAGTCTATTGGAAGATATACTTTGGCTTTTGATATTATATATACTGTATTTACACATGTATAGGCCGCGTGCGTGTATAGGCCGCAGCACAATTTTCAGACAGAAATTATAGAAAAAATAATTTTCTTGGAATATTATTTCAGGAGTAGAACACCCTGTATTACTAATTATGAATATAATTTTTTTTAAATGAAGTGTGATTTCGAATATTTCGAATATAAGCCGCACCCCAGTTTTCCTCTTGAATTTCTGACAAAAAATGTGCAGCCTATACATGCGTAAATATGGTATATATATATATTCTATGTTGATATTTAAGTTTCTTTACACTGTGTGATGAAGTGATTCTTTTTCAGAGTATGTGTGTGGATGCCTCTTTGTGCATATGCATGCTTATTTGACTATGTGTATGTAAACCAAAATTATATATTTTTTTATTTTCTGGGCTTATGTTTTCGTGTGGTAACGGTGTGTGATACCATTACATTTTACTGCAATGAAATATACCAATACAAACAAGTGTGAGGAAGAAATCATTCGTTGACAGTAATGTGTATTAACTGAAAAAAGGTCTGTAGTCCTTTATATACAGTGCCACAGGAAGCATTAATATCCTTTAAAATATTGTTAGATCATTTTTAGTGTATGCACACATCAGGAAACGTAGTCAGAGCCATATCTGATAACTGGTGCCAGTTCTATTCACCCTCTGCCATGATACCGTTGTCAAACATGTGATAACATCATTCATCCTATTAATATAAAGGTGTCAGTTAAATTAACACATGATTATATAAAATTTGAAGTATCATGGGAACTGCCAAGAATTTTTCCAAGGGGGGCATCAGAAAATCTGCTAATATACTTACATTTAAGCTTTGTAAATTGATTATTAGATATTGTCTGTATATGATGCATAAGAACAAGAAGTCATTTATGAACATATGTATGTCCCTGGTCATCTATGTTTCTGTCCATTTATGTGCCTGTCCATTGAAAAATGCTTCTGTAAATTTCCCATAGCTTTCAACCCCCAAACACTTTGTTAAATTGTAATTAATTCTGATATAAAGTATGTGACTGAAATCCTATTGATGTATATCAACTATTTACATATATCATTACGCATGAAGGCCCTAATGATGTATTTTAATAAATGTTTAAATGTGTACCAAATATTTTAATTTTAAACTTCACAATTTTTACAAGGGAAATTTAATTTTGGTATAAATATACTGCCAGTGTGAATCCCTTTACTCTTAGGAATTAGCCTTTATTTCAAACATTCTTTCAAATTGTCTCTATGCCTGGCTTTGTTTTTGATACTGACCTCCTACAACTCACAGTCACAGTGGAGGTATTCGATCCTGCCTCCGCACGGTGTCACTGATTTATTTCTGGTCTTGCTTATAATATCTCGCCATGGACCACATAGGAAACACAGCTTCTCATCGTTACTCCACTGTTGCGTTCGTATCTGTTGGGGTGATCACGTGATTGCTACTGAGCCATTGCCTAGCAACGGCGTTGTTTTAGGGTCATTCCCTAGCAACAGCTGTCTGTGCTGGCTTTACAATTCAGCCTTGAGCAAACTTCCAATGTATTTAATGTTCAAGTTTATAAGTATTAATAATTATAATATATTTCCCATTATCTGGCATGCACAGGGAACGGAGTTTGATGGTTACATGAATCTTCCGGTTGCATGAATAAACTCTTACAGAAATTCAATGCAAAGAAAAAAAAGGAAAAATATTTTCTCTTTATTTCTTGCGTGGAAGACTTCCTAGGTGACGCTGCTAATTAAAGGGTGAAAGGTTTTGGATACATGTAGTGGAATGTGAACGCAAATTCATTTAGCTTCTATTGTAATGGCATTTGGGTGAGGGAGGACATCTGGTAGCATTGATAGTCATGACTGGGATAATTATCGCATGGCTAGTGAATATATCACCAATGCATTATTCTTTTTGACTAACTTTATAAAAATAGTAAATTTTCTTTGGAATTTTTGTTGGTTCAATGAGAATTTTAGATGCTTTGATGCAGGGTAACTGGAAGTTTATGTCTGTTGTATGTTCAAGTGATCTGAGATGTGTTTTTGTTTCAGAAACTATGGCCTGCGCAAAAAACTACTTGTGTATTTTCGAAAACTAAAGCCTGAGTATTTTGAGAAACGGTATATGTGATACTTGTCCTTCATAAAAATCTTTATAAGGAATGTGCAATTTCGAAACCAGGCCAGCAATTTTGTGCCACACTGAATGAGAATATCTGTTGCTGTTGAACTAAATTGTCCATCGAGCATCACAATTTAATTATTTCTATGGAAATAGGAATGCGTCTAAGGCAGGAAGGGATACATGTGCATATTTTAGTGGAATCTGAAATTTAAATTAACGTAATTCGCTAAAAGTCTGATGTCGGATGATCCATTACACTGTAAATGTGTTCAATATTGCCCTTTAAAGTAAATCTAACATATGTGGTACTTTAGGACTTCCCCTTGCTTTCACCTATAGCTGACTAGTAGTCATAATACTGACAGACATTTTATGCTGTTCTTGTTTTTTATATTGGTGGCAGAGGTGAAGACTGAAAATTAAATTGAGAAAATAAAAATAAAATTGAAGCAATTAGATACATATAAGTAATAATGGAACATTTCTGTTGTTAATGCATTTATAATATGTATTACATAGCATGATAAATATTGTTGGTACTGTTTTCATGCCCTGCCTTGTTCAGTATTATTGTTAGCATATAACAATTTCATAATTGGAATATTTCAGAAATTACAGCATTTACATGGTTTGTGCGACACTGTTTTTAGTGTTTTCTAAGTTTGAATTAAGTTCAAGAACAGGCTAATTTACATTCATTTATATTTCTTTTAACTCAATTTGACTAACATTATATAACATTTCATTCTCAAATGTCTGAAAGCTTCAAATGGTGCTGAGCTCCTGAACTCTGCAAGCAGATGACANCAGCCGCGGCGCGCACTTGATTGTACGCACTGTATAATCACCGAAAACCACAATTTTAAAAATTGTATTGTATTTCTTTTCAACCACATTTTTATCCTTGTTTAAATTTCCGTGCAGTTGTGGCAAAGTTCCTTGCAAATTTAAATTATCATGCTAATGTAAATAAGGTTCCATATTAATTTTAATACATTTGTTGAGTTGCGTGTTGTTAATGTCTAGCTGTATTCAGACAGCATAAGATTGTGCATTTGAACATTATTTGTAATTTTAAGATTGCATCATATATGACAATCCAAAGTAAATTAATAGATATAAAATATATTTCGTTAAGATTCACGGGTAACATTTTGTGAAAAATTGTAGGATTATTGGTACATGTTCTTGTGTGTTCTGGCAGACCTAAATTCAATATTGGAATGGGACTAGAACGCTGGATATTCAGGTATGACTTTAATTTCACATCTGATTATAGTAGTAATATTGCTTTGACATTCACCAAGGACATTTGATGTTTCACCTGTACTGCATGTAACAGCAACATGAAAGATCATTATGCAAAAGCAAAATGAAAAAAGGCACATGTATCTTTTCAGTGTAGTGTATGCATGAGATTATATCAACCTAATACATCCTGCTAGCAAATGTAAGACTGTTTCAGCTGGACATATATCAATGTTTGTAGAAAACTTGTCAGCACATGGCCAACTCAGAATAAGTTGCACATGCCTCAAAAGATTTTAAATTGCAGAATATGTATGTGTCTATATATATGTGCTTTGCTAATATTCAAAAACAGGGTTCAGAATAAGCTCTTTCCAAGAAAAAATATCTGTAGTCCACATTATGAGAAATACATATCAAGAGTGAATAGATTTGTGCCTGAAAATTATATAACCAAAAATAATTTAAATTTGACATAACTTGGATTTATGGCAGTATACAAGGGCCATTTTTAAATCACTTTGGTTCTATGGCACTACAGTGGATTTAAATTCTTGCCTTGGTATTAGAGGATAGGGTATTTTGTTTTTAACTCTGTTGATGAATTTTACGTAGCTTAATCTTTGTTTTTGTGGATGTACTGTGGAACATTTTGTCAGAGTGTAGTTAGTGGCTTGCCCTTTATCAGTTATGTGTTTTGTGCTTACAACCCTTTAAGTATGTTGTAGAAAATGATAGAAGTTGCTGCTTGTTTGGTATAATTACATAAATGTAGTTTCACTGTAATTTATGCATGCCTTGCATATATTATACAGCTACACCAACAAAAGTAAACGTAGAGAATATGGTTTTAGTTCTCACAAGAAAAGCTAGAATAGATAACTTGAATTAATAAAATCAAATTAGCGAGAAACTACCATAAAACATGTCATGGGGTAAGACCTATTGCATTTCAACTATAACAGATATAATTGACAGTACTTGTTAAACTTTTGAGGAGAAGATTAATTATTCACACATCTCCTTCAATCGATTTTTTTTTTTAATTTGTTAATACCTGAAAACTCAAGTAAATCTATTAGAAGGGTCCAATACTTTTAAAATGATGTTAAGCATGATATTTCTAAATAACTGTCGAAGTCTTTATATGACAAATTGTAAAGAAATGTAACATGCAATGTAGGATTAGAGTCTCACTGCAGTGACAATAAAGAGTAGTATCTTCTACAGTGTGATGCGGTGCAGTCTGGTAGTTTGCCAATATTTTGGAAGAATGCTAGTAAATTTCTAGGTGACTACATATATAACTTCCCAGAAAATATTACTTTCCACAGAACATAGTCGACTGTGTAATCCTATAGCTTTGAAATATTGCAAATATTTTCAAAATTATCTCTATTTTTTTAATATTACTCTAGAATACAATGGAAAAATATGTATTTATAGTTCTATTTCTGTGTAAATTATCAGGTAGACTAGTAGAAAATATGTCAATAATGGGTTGACAATGCAACGTTAGAAATTTACTTAAAAGTATGTGGAATAGACTTCATGTATTTCTTCTGTGTTTATTTACCAATACATAGTCACTCATTTTAAGTATTTTCTTCAAACTGAACATCTAGTATTACTGATTCAAATATTTTAGTGAATTATAAATTATTTAATTGTTGCTACATCTATTAAAGCAATAAACAGGTTCCCAAACTCTTTTCCACTATACCCTTATGGATTACTTGCAGTATTAGTTGATTTCAATTTTTTATATTTCTTTAAAGCATGGGGAATAGATATTTGTCATGTCCCCCCCCTTTCCCACTGTCTCCTGTGTTGACAATATATGTTCGCCACTATGCTGTTAAGAAAACAGCAAACTTATGGCAGACGGAAGAAAAGTATGAAGCAAATAATTATTTTCTTATCAAAATAGTGGGAAAAATTATGTTTTTCAATTGCCATTTGTGCATATATTGCCACTTAACTTTACATGATCTTTCATTTAGCCCTGAATGGTTTATTGCCTGGTCTCCAGAATCAGAAAACCTTACCAGCATCATGGATAATGTCATGATCAAATTAAGCGCTGCTACAGAAAATGTGACATTTATCTGTAAGTATAATCAAGACATGAAACATAATGTATGTCTCTCAGTTCATTTGTCATATTTGTAAAAGATCCATGATCCACTTGGAACAAGAACAACATTTTTTCGTTGCTTTTATAGATCATTGCAAATTCTGAAATGAAGACAAAGTTGAACCACCAATCCAGAAAAGGGGGAAAATAGGAAAATATTTTTGTATGAACATGTGTGCATGTGTCCAAGCATGTACTCAGATGGGAATTGGAATTGTGACTTGCAGTATATATAAAGATATTGTTTCAATATAAATTCCTTTAATTAGTTATGAATTACATTTCACAATAATGAAGTTCCAATTTGGGAGTGGGGGGGGGTGGAAGGGTAATTTCTTAGTATGGTTACATGAAATGTAATCTTAGCCTTATTTTGCTTCCATATCAGAATAATGTCTTGCTTTACAGCTAAGCCATACAGAAATCAGGAAGAAATGGATGAAGCGCTCACATCCCACTCTACGAATATAATGGGTTATGTACTAGCAGGAATTGCTTTTGATGACTCAGATCCGTTTCCTGACAATATCCAGGTAAGGAAGTCAGCAATTAACCACTACCATCATCATAGTCATCATGTCTGGCACTAGGTTATGTGTGGTCTGATAACAGTTTTTTTGCCACCTCTTCGATGGTCTTCCTAAATTTTCTTCCCCTCAGATATATACAATATATAATACAATCTTGTTTTACATATTCTATTATTTCTATCCTTCTTCATGTTTCTAGTTAGTCCAGTGCTTTTGTACAAATTTGATGAATTGTCAAATTTTTAATTATTAAAAAATGTAAGCAATTTAGTACTGTTGGGTCAATGATACATGGGAAGTTAAATAAGCTGAGGAAGTTATGTGGATCTGCAGGGTAAGGAACACACTCAGAATTTTGGTTGAGAAACATTTGGAAAACAACCTTTGAGGCTCTCATAGTGGTGACTATGAAGATCACACTTTCCTGGAGGTGGCCCATAGAATTTGGCATTTTGTAGGAATAAGCAGCCTCCATCTTTAGGGTAGAAAACGGAGGCAACGTGTTCCGCCAAAACACTGCATACATCCTACCAGGTTACATGATGGCACGACACAGAAGACTTTAATTTTCTACTGGAAAATAACCACTTGGAAGGCTGTGAAGGAGGTGGGAGGGTAAAGGTAATGTGGGTCTCAAGGAAACATTTTTTGAAGGTGGGAGGTGGATGGATTCTATCCATTGATGGACTTTCGTAATATCAGTGTTGAACCTTATGTTCAACATATGTATAATTGCTATGACATGATATGTCGTGATTTATGGGAAAATCTTGGCACTGTGGGTGGTTGTTGTATAATTCCATTTCCATTGTGTAGCATTTCTAGTTTTCAGTATACATTTTTATGTATTACTTAAAGATGTCCAGCTGGTTCCTTAGGATTGCTCAAAGTCACTTACCTGTGTTATCATAAATCCAATTTCTAAGCAAGTGCCCCCCCCCAATGTGAATATAAATGTCACCATACTAAGATTGTCATGTCATCTTAAACCACCCATAATGAAATACAATAAACAGTAGTAACGGTTTTGTGTTTTCCTTGTTTGAAGTTTTAGACATCATTAATAAATGTTCAAGATACTTCTTGTTGCAGATGAAAATCAGATTTCCAGGAGAGTTACGGTTTAGGGGAAATGAAAGTGATTGGCGTACAAATGTCCTTTTTCCTTTGTATCAAGTGCCTGGTCCACGGTCGAAACTATTTAATGAGGGAGGTCTCCCTGGTAAGTGTCAAGCATACTTAAGAATGAAAGCAGTTCTCTTTACAGATTAAAATGTATTGATTGAGGGTCCATACACATTACAGAATTATCTGAAAGAACATTGTATATATGATTTTAAGGCAAATGGTCAAAGACTTCAGAGATATTGGATTTATGCATTGTCCTGCTCTTAGTTTAAAGGAAAAGTTTTGCAAAGTGGATCACTCTCCAGCCTTCCATTCTCAGTTCATGAGCCCTTGATAACGAACCAGCCTCAACCAGTCACCAACAACATGCCTTTCCACACAGAGGTTATAAATACATGAGACCAGGCTAAAGCCATGAGAGATAATAAGAAAAAATATACATTAAAAATTGTTCCAAACACGTACAAGCGTGGAACCAGGATAGATAGAGCCGTAGAAATTTATGTCATGAAACCAAACTAATAACCAGGTCCATGACCCCACGGCATGGAATAGGAAGGAGAACCAGTACAAAACTAATAGTGTCTAACTTGCGTCAATACCTCAACTTCAATTCTAACCATCCACCACATGTAAAAAGAGGTTTGATTAAAAGTCTCCACGACAGAGCCTCCACCATATGCCAAGATCGACGAGATTTGGTCAACGAAATTAACAACCTGAAACACGATCTTCAGTTGAACTGTTATCCCAAAGGCTTCACTGACATGGTCATTAATTCCAAGGGCAGTAGTCGTCCGAAGAAAGAGGATAAACCTCTGTGTTCTGTGTATATTCCATATGTGAAGGGTGTTTCTGAAAAGTTTAAACGGATAGGTAATCGATATAATATTAGGATCATCTTCCGTACGAAACACACTCTTAGGAACTCCCTTATGAAAACCAGACCGAAAAGAGATCCGCAACAGACGGCACAGTGCGTCTGTAGCATTCCCTGTGAATGTGGCAGAAGCTACACTGGCGAAACAGGCAGACCTCTGGCCGTGCGGCTCCGGGAACATGGGCATAACCTCAAAGAAGGTCTTTAGAAAAATCTAAACTAGCTCAACATGTCTATGAAGAGGAACATAGGGTAGGCGTGGATGAAGCTAAGATTTCGGATATTGAAAGCCACATCAGGTATAGAAAATACAAGGAAGCGGCCCATATGGCATGCTCGGCCAAACCAGTTAGCCAACCCAGTTTGGACTTTTCTCCCATTTGGATCCCCATTATCAGCAAATGAGTCACCAATTCACAGAGAAGATCTGTATGATGTGATATATGTTTTTATTGATTTCTATTAGGTTCTAAATTAGATAGACGTGATTTACTCCATTGTTGAAGCTAGTTAGACACTATGTAAGATTTGAGGCTTTCACGGCGGTGACTATGAAGAAAGCAGTCTTCTGGGATTTGGCGCCGTGTATATGTGGTGTTAACCGACGTTTCGGAGGAACGTATCGCCCCCATCTTCAGGGTTGAAGAAAAAGTATAGGTAACCGGTGTTGTCGCTTGCAGATTTACCTATACTTTTTCTTCAACCCTGAAGATGGGGGCGATACGTTCCTCCGAAACGTCGGTTAACACCACATATACACGGCGCCAAATCCCAGAAGACTGCTTTCTTCATAGTTAGACACTATTAGTTTTTTACTAATTTTCCTTTCTATTCCATGCCGTGGGGTCATGGACCTGGTTACTAGTTTGGTTTCATGACATAAATTTCTACGGCTCTATCTATCCTGGTTCCACGCTTGTATGTCTTTAGAACAATTTTTAATATATATTTTTCTTATTAGCTGTCATGGACTTAGCCTGGTCTCAGGTATTTATAAACTGTGTGTTTTAAGAAGTCGTTTGTCTAGTGCTTGAAACTAGATCTTTTTGGATTAATCCAACAGAAGAGATGTTTTATTTAATCTAATCGGGTGGATGGAAACTTGATTAGTTTCCGAATCGTATTTTCGTTAAAGGAACGAAAACAATGGGTTTGTTTCTTCCTCTGATGATGAGAGAAAGTACATGCAATGAAATATTGAATTTTTTTTTTTGGTCAGGTGGATGAAACAGAAGATGTGTTTACTATCAGCTGATGAGAGAAACCGGTCCAGCTTCTGAAATATCGTATTTTTCTTAATTATGTTAAACCTTTTCTCCACCTTGGTGAGGGAGTTTGAGTATGCCAAGGGCCCTGAGAGATATACCAGCGGTAGCGTAGCTACTGGCAGGGCCTCCTTTGCTGGACAGGTCAAAGGGTAGGCATCAGATGAAGAGAGACACCAAAAACTGATGCCGGAAGCAGTGACTTTAAGCACAGAGCAAATGATGCTCGCGATGGTCCAAGTTTCTATAGCAACAGGTGTGACCAGAGTGGCTTCAATGGCTGTTGTACTGCGATGTGGAAAACTAGCAAATTATCACTTTTCCTGGATATTCTCTTTCCAAAAACAGGGACACCATGTATGGGAACCAGAAGACGAGGAAGAACGACGTAAGAAGATGCTGGATGATCTTGGGGACAGAAGAGGATATTTTCATTTGAAGGAGAAAGCTCTAGATCGCATTAAGTGGAGGAACTGTTTTGGAAGAGACTGTGGACCTGTCGTCTGACAGATTACTGATGAACGAATGAACTAAAACCAGGACAATGTATAAAGTCCGAAAACCCAATATCTCTGTGTTATACACCATCGTCAGAATCCTATAGTAACTACCTGGTCAAAGAGTTGTCCTCCAGTATTGAAATATATTTTCCACTGACATTGTGTGATTTCTGTATTAACATGCAGGATTTTGATATTTGTATTTTACAAAAAGTTTTTTTTTTTTCTATAAATTTCTGCTTCATATGGAACACAGTCCACATAAGCTTCACAGATCATTCTGCAGTGTGCACTAATGTACTGTTTTTCTGGTAGTATGAGAAATTATTTTCTTTAGTTAGCTGCTCAAAGAAGGGCTCCAGACTGTTGGTTACACAATACATCATTGTGTTCTCTTGGTAGCACTTGTTCTGGACTGTGCCTGTTTTCATTTCCAACAGACTTGGTCTTGTGCCTCTTTTTTTCTTGTGTTGTATGGTTCTCTACACAGCATCTAGTATTCCTTGAGCAATATTATATATACAATGACTATCCGGGGTGATGAACTTCTCTGCATATTATAACTTTAATGCAGCAAAAATTTATACAATTTACAAATACATCTTTGCAGTAATATGTGTTTGTTAACATTACACATTACAAAACTCTTTAAAAACATTGTTTGATAGGTGTGAAGCTCTGCTACCCTATCATATTAAAAAGATAATGTAGCTGTAATGCTTTAGGTTTTTTGTGAGTTAACTGGTTGAAATCTTAACCAGATTATTGGCTATTCTGACTGATGAATTTTATGGTTTTTGTCAGTCACTCCAGGCAGATAATATTTTCAAGTAGCTACTGCTACCTGCATCCAGAATCATTCTTGATTATTTTCCTTTTCGTTTTATGCTTTACAGTTGAAACATCATTTAATAACCTAAGAATCTATCTTTTAATCAATCTTTTATTCATAGCTGCTTGTGTAATGTGTTTCTCACATCATGAAATCTTGGCATACATAGATAATAAACATTTTCTTGCTTTTCAGGTTACTGGTATGAAGGTTTCTTACTATTACAGCATGTTATATCTTCAGAAATAACAAAGTTTTTAAATAATATAACTCTACCTCAAATAATGCTTCAGAGGTTCCCATATCCTCCATACACACATGATGATATGCTCGAAGCTCTGAAAAGAAATGTACCTCTCCTTATGATGGTGAGCTTTGTCTATACATGTATCAACACTGTTAAGGTCATTACTGTGGAAAAGGAGCGTCAACTCAAGGCAAGTAACCCATCAGTGTACTATTTGAAGTACTCAGAATCCTTGTATAAAATCAATTGAATGGATTCACAACGTCACAAAATTGTCATAAGATTTTTATGCACCTTAACAACAATTGTTATCCAACTAGCTTAACCTGGACATATGTTAAAATATGCCAGCACATTAAGGGTGACTTCACAGGGCAGTAAAATCTTGTGGATGTGAAATATTTATTTCTATTGGTTGTTGTAAAATAATTCAAAGTTTACGTTAACATAAAAAGATATACTGGTAATATCAATGTCTTTAAAATTTGGAGAATTTTATCTGTAACAGCAAAGAGCTGTGTTATTGAATAACTTACATGTTTGGTAATATTTTAAGTCCAGTGTTACGTTTTTCCATCTAAGCAGGATCTTGTTAAAAATGTATTTAGCCTTATTTTTAAGAGCCCCAATATTTAGAAAATATGGACAGATGGTACTTAGTCCTTTTGCTGCACATTATTTTGTTACCATTTCCTAAAATAGTAGAATTTGAAGGTAAACATATGAAACAAACACAACAAAAATGCTTGATTACTTCTTGATGTGGACTAAAAATACAAACGTCACATCATATGGTAACGGAGGTTTGTTCAGCTTCAGTTAAATATTGCACCAGTAGAGTGAAATAGTTAAAGGCAGTTCACATAAGTTTCAAGTCTTTGAAGAGTACTGTCTTTTGGTATGATACTATGCAGTCAGATACAATTTACTGAAGCTTTGTAGAAACATGCTACAAATTAGTTCTGCTTGCTTGGCATATTCTTCAAGCCGAAGATGAAAATATTAGTAACCTTTACCTGACTACACAGCATTATCTCCCAGAAGGTGATACTCTTCACAGACACTGATATTAGAACCTCTGATTTTATGTTCTCATTTGCAGGAAGCCATGAAGATAATGGGATTGCCCAATTGGTTACACTGGACAGCTTGGTTCATAAAGACATTTATGTTTGTGATGATTTCAGTGATCTTAATTGTGATTATGATGAAAGTGCCATGGTATCCTGGTTCGGATCTCACTGTGTTTTCCTACAGTGATCCTATACTTCTCTTAATTTATTTCATTTTTTATATGATTGCCAGCATCTGTTTCTGCTTCATGATCTCAGTCTTATTTTCTAAAGGTAATTTACTGCATGTTGTTGGTATGGTATGGCTATTGTTATTTTCATTAGAGGTGATATTCATGAGGCGCATATTTGTCAGCCTTTTATAAAATTTTATAATATATATGCATAATAATTTACATGTATTTGCATTTACTGAAGACAAACACATGACACATTGGGGCATTTTTATTTTCTGCTTTCTGTTCCCTTTAACGAGATTAGTATCACTGATAATGCAATTAATCCGTTTCTAAGTGGGACTGGTCTCCTTCCCAACAGACATTCATTCATTCATTCATTCATTCATTCATTTTCCATAAATCCATACCGAAAACAATTTAATAGGATGTGGAAATAGTCACAAATAAGGCAGTAAAACGTACATAATAAAATAAGCATCAACATGCACATTACTTAATATAACTAAAACAATTCTTCATTAATTTCCTTTATTTTCCATATATCCATACAAGTAACAAACCTAGGATGTGGAAAGTGTCCCGTTGAAAATAGATATATCAAGATACATATACAAAATTACACGAGTCACATAATCAAAATTACTTACATTAATTGATTAACATAAATAATAATATAAAGTAACGAATTTAATAAGATAATTTGAAAATAACATCTTGTTAATACAATTTTATTTAAATTACCTATATTAACCGAATTAAATACATTACAAATTTACACACTTATGACAAATTATGTTGATAATATTCATTCATGGACTAGAAAAGAATGATGATATAAAAACCTCTTCAATGCAGATTTAAAACTTCTCACTTCTCTTAAGATATTATAGCATGAAATGTTCTGAAATGCCACCTCTGACACAAACACTGGAACAAGGAATATTATTTTTGATTTGTTTCATTCTGGTCCGTCACACTAACAATTACAAATATAAATCACTCCGTCCAATGTGACCTGTAAGTTTATTACTACATGAAAAACTTAACACGCTTACATGTTTTGGTCTCTGCGGACCATCTTCAGAGGGCAAACATCACTACAAATAGGAAACCACCTTCACATAAGTTGTTTAGACGTAAAGTGCGTACACTTATATGTTACAATGCATAGTACACAAAACAGAACATTTCACAAACACAGCAGTTTCCTGGGAATGTAAAGTTTTTAAAAATTATTTAAAATTTCTTGATGCTAATTAAAAATTTTTCATTGTCTATAATTAAAATTCATAAACCATGCAGGCTCGTGTTCGTCCTCCCATCGTCCCAACTTTCAGATGATCACGCTAGATACTTGTAACTCTGTCAGACTGTTGATTTGACATGTATATTTTGTGTATCCCTTGAACAGCTAACACAGCATCCTTGATGGCTGCTATACTGTGGTTCTTCTCATATGTGCCATTCATGTTCATGTCAGAGCAGTATGAAAACCTGCATCTACCATCCAAGATATTAGCTTGCCTGTTATCAAATAGTGCCATGGCATTTGGATTTCAGTTATTTCTAATGTATGAAGGAGCTGGTAAGTAGCTGCTTACATTCTGTACTTTAATACTTGAAGGGCTGCTTGTGCTAGGGCGTTCACCAAATGTATCTGTAGATTTCATATATATAATTATTCTCTGTCTTGTTAGGAGTTGTTTTCCCATGTAAGATTAAATCAACTGCATAAAGTTGATAGTACTAGAAAAGCCTGTAACAAAACATGTTAGTGTATTGGACGTGGTTATGCTAATCCCCCTACCAGTTCCTCTTCTCTGATGCAGTTTCTCTTTTGTTGTATCACAAAACAAGACTTTTGTGTGCACACATTCAATTTCTGAATGAGTCAGTTGCATAGGTGCCACTGTGCCAATNCGCGCTACCTCACCGTCAAATCATCTCAGCAACCACGGTCCTTTTCAGGGCCAACAAATTGTTCCGAAGAAGTGGGTTGTCGTAGGAGTAATGACAAGAGCCCCACACATTCTTTAAACAAATTTTAAAATTCATAACCACAAGGTAGATGAATTTCAAAATTTATATTTTTATTATTATAATTAATGTCACAGTTCATAATTCAAGGAGATTCTTTAAGGAAGAAATTTTTAACCTAGCACAAATATTACTTTCCATATATAAGATTGGAAACAAATCTGAATAATTGTCATACATGTTATAATCTTTGATAATCTTTGGTGAGAGTAATCAATAAAAATTGTATTAAAGTCATTCAGGGTCAATGGATGTCAATTTTGGACAAATGAATCTAACTTGGTGTTTTGTAAATTGTTCATGATAGAGAATAATGGTTTGATAAAATCATTTGGTAATGAGAAACTGAGTGCAAAGATTTACTCCAAATTTATAAATATTCTCTTTATGTATCTACATGTCCCACTAAGTTTGATGTTCATTTCCTTCAGTTACAATTCTAATGTTTGAAGGCTTATCTCCTACACTATATATTATCGGAAATTATTTTTTGTTGTAAGTAATTAAATATTTATGATACTGAAAAATGTTTCAAGCAAAAGTTTTAGATCTTACTGAAGTCTTTATTGTTTAATGTACTGATTTTTAAATGATTCAACTTCTTTTTTGTCTACTTTTATTTCAGCTCAGCTTGCTGTAAAATGACAATTATAAATTTAATTCTCTTAACAATTTTCAATGTAAATTCTCCATATTCTCCCCTCCCCCAAAGTTTATTTCTTTGTAACAAACCAAATGCCAGGTCAGAGATAAAGGCCCCAACCTTAAAACTGAGGATGTGATAATGTGCTATGTGGCCATGGCTAAATACAAAAATGCATTCAATAGCTTCTGCACTAAAATATACAGCTGGGTGAACATAACCTCCACTGTATGTGCTGTTTTTCTGCAAATGACTCTTAATTAATGGTCACTGGATCAATGAATCTCAAAACTGTTGTGCAGACCCCAAGTAAGTTAAAGAGACATTATAGTATGCTTAAAATATGTCAGTATTTAAAATAAATATCATATTCTGCAGGAGTAGGAATGCAGTGGCACAATATCTGGACTCCAGTCACAGCAGATGATGATCTTGTATTAGGTCATGTGATGATTATGTTACTGGTGGATGCACTCATCTATCTTCTTTTGACTCTCTACATTGAAGCTGTTGCCCCTGGTGAATATGGTGTACCAAAACCTTGGTATTTCCCTGTCCAGGTATGCATGACCATATGCATCTCAAAGTTAAAATTAACATAAGTAGACCTCTATGATACAGTCAGATATGATTAAATCTTATGTAAATTTATCAATCAGACAAACACTTTTCTTGTCAGATGGTTCTCCATAAGAGAAATATCTCTTACCCATACTATTGTGATTGTTCTCTGCAAGCCCATTTACCAGTGTACAGCATATAAGATAATACATTGTAATTGTCTGAGAGCTTCTGAAAATTGTTCATCTGCCTAGACAGAAAAGTTGGATGCACTTGGCTCAGTCATGTGTGAGAGATTCTTGAGATGATTGGATTGTATAAAACTGAACTGCTGTCTCTTATTTTGCATAAAATGTGTACAGCATATTACTCATTGTCTCAGATTTACTTTCTGAAATCAGTGCAGCAATAAAAATAGGGTTGTAGTTAATATTAACAGATACATTTAAATTTGTTTTTTCTGCTTCTGAGCCTTAATTTTTCACTTATCACTGATGAACAGGGAAGTTGGTTTCTTGGGCCTTGGAAATGGTTATGAATTTTTCTCATCCATTTGGTATTATAATTATTGAAATTTGCTCCTTTTTATTATCTTCATTTTTCAGCTTTCATATTGGTGTGAAAATTCTGATTACAACCCATACTTTGAAACTGTCGGACAGAAAACTAATGTTAACAGTCCAGATGTTTACGAGGCTGAACCTAGAAATCTACCAGCAGGAATACAAATCAAACATCTGAGGAAGGTAAAGAAGGAACTGTGTATCCTATTTGAAAGACACAAGAAGTCTAATTCTGATTCCTGTTAAAATATATGTTGTAAAATAAGTAATGCAAAAGATAAAATAATATCTGTGAAATGCTGATAAAATGAATAAAGAGAGAAATTCAGATCCATGAAATATACTTCAATTACCCAACAAACTCGTTATATGAATATGTATAGTGTAATTTATTTGTTATTATAAAACTTACACAAGTTAGGAAATGCGCACATAGCATATCATAGTTCTAGTGCATTCACTCCCTCTTTTGTATTTATCTCTAAAACCATAAGATCTATGGATAAAAAATTTTTCCCCCTGAAGCATTTTTTATCAAAAAATATTTAGTAAGTTACACCTGATACAAACATTTAAATTATTGTAGATATTCATATAAAATATCTAGTATTGTTTCCTGATTTTAGTCAAAACTGGATTGCTTCAAAACATTTAAGAAAAATCCCCAGTATCAAATTCAGTGAAATTCTTGTTATATGTGAACAGACATACATATGTTAGGCACAATTCTATAAGCTTCTTTAAAAACAAACCTTCAGATTCAGTAAGCATAAACTGAATTTCATTAATGCATGCTTGTGATAACTTATTCAAACCAAAATTTTAACTTTGTCTGTGATAATAAGGACTGAATTCATCTGGCTCAGGATAGAGTTTAGTGGTGGGTTTTACTGAACATGTTAATGAACTTCCAGATTTCATAGACAGCAGGGAATTTCTTGACCAGCTAAATGACTATCAGTTCTCAAGAGTGGATCTAATCCCTGTAGCTGTATGCTATATCCCTGTTCACTGACTCTGCTTGTGATGAGTAACATTAACTCATTTGAAAAATTCGTACTCTATATTTGATGTACATGAAGTATTTTTACTACAATGAAAACATAAGAAGCCCTGGACACCACCCCCCCCCCCACAAACTAATGACTATCTTTTTACTGTCTTGTTTGTTGCATATTATACTCATAGAATTTTCTGATTTTTATTATGTCTTAATCAGTACTAGTCACTTCAAAGTAAATTCATTATATAAGTGGTTAGTCGCTGGCTTCTCACCGCCGTAGCCCAGGCTTGATCCCAGTTCTGATCAAGTGGGATCTGTGGTGGACAAAGTGGCGCTGGGGCGGGTTTTCTCTGAGTACTTCGGTTTCCCCTACCAATCTTCATTCTACCAAATTCTCTCTCATTATATTCACCCAGGGCAGGCTACAATAGGCCAATCAGTGGCCACTGAATTAAATTGAATTGAACTGTGCCAATTGGACCCAGTTGGACTCCACCCCCCATTAAGCGAATTAAAAAAAATCATTATATTAATAACATGCACACATGTACATGTGTTAAGTTCTAATATATACTCATATTCCCTACTATTATTTAAATGAACCTTTAGGTCCCATAAAATCTTGGAAAATTCTTGAGTAACTCAGCAACTGGTGGCTTCTAGAGAAGGGTTCAAATCCATGAAGTTTGTTTGTTTGTTTGTTAGGCTGTTATTTAGGGTGTAAGTGTATGTATTATCTCATTCCATAGTATATGTAATTATTAACTGTAAAGTACAGTAAACTCCTGAATATCTGGGGGGGGGGATAGGAAATGAAAATACCCAGATAATTAGAAACCCTGGGTAATCTGTAAAAGAAGTATTTAACTCAGATGTGAATTAGGATTTGTAAAATGAAATGTACATTTATAAATGTATTTTGCTCAAACACTAGTGGTAGAAACATGAGTGTAGTTTCTGAGAGCTCCTGTGCCATTTCTATACATTTGAAAACAAAACAAAACAGGGTTTTCTCAAGACTCCAAGCACACATTCAAACACAAAATAGAGCTCCCATCATTTTACACTTGTTACCTTTTAAAATGCCATTTCACACAAAGTTTATATTTAGACACTGGACACGCCAGTCAGTTTTTTTAACAGAGCCCCAACCAAATCTGCCTGAACTTAATTGGTTGTCCACTATAATTGGGTATACAATATTATTTATCAAATATAGGGCTGCACACAGTAGCATAGTTGGTTGAGGGGCTATGGTACAGGCCGGAAGGTTGAGGGTTCAAGTCCCGATGAGGTCATTGGATTTTTTCAACTGACCTAATCCTTCCAGCTGCACTATGGCCCTGGGGTCGACTGAGCCTCTAACAGAAATGAGTACCAGGAATTAATTAAATAATTTTCCTGGGGAGTAAAGTGCGGCCAGCGCGTAAGCCTGACAACCTTACCACCATCTTTGAGCCTCAATGTCTCACAACCCTATGGGCCTTCACGGCCTGGCACAGGGATAGCTTTACTTAGTTACTTACTTTATCAAATTTATGTTAAACAAGCAGCATTTGAAGAATGTATTCCTTTTATAAAATCAGGAATTAGTGTAATGAAATGTTATTCAGCAAAATTCACTAGAATTGGAATTTGTTTTCAGAAATATGGCAGCAAGGAGGCTGTGAAAGACCTAACTCTGAACATGTATGAAGGGCATATTACTGTCCTGCTGGGTCATAATGGGGCGGGAAAAACTACAACAATGTCAATGTTGACAGGTACACATTTTTTGTATTCATTTCTAATCTATTTTATTTTAGAATTCCTATACATCTGGCTCCTCGTGACACAAGGATGTAATATATAGTATTTCAGATTACTTAGTTTTTTACTTTGCCCTTCATCCAGTATTCTAAAGAACACAATGTTTCAGAAACTGGGTCTATTTCGATCCTCAGGTGAAAGAGTTGGAGGTACCTAGTCTGTTGGGTCTGTTTAAAGAAGCTAAATTGAATCACAAAACTACCTCTGTAATCGTGACTGAGGGTAGCTCAGCAGGTTGTCATAATGGTAATGCCCTAGACTTGTATTCGGAAGATGTTCAGTTTCATTCTTGGTCACAACATCAGCCATACTTACTATTTTTGTGGTTCTCCTCAGTCTCTCTGTGCAATGCTTGGAGAGTATCTTGACAGGCCATTAAAGTTTATAACAAATCCTTTCTAACTCATTGTTCATCAATCAATCTTCCATTCGGCACCAGTGTTGTACAAATTCCACAAAAATAAAATGAACAAAATTATAAAGTCTCAGGATGAATAATGTGTAATTGACTGTTCTTGTTAATGAAGGCATGATAACTCCAACAAGTGGAACTGCTCTGGTTGGAGGATTTGATGTAAGAACAGATATTCATAAGGTCCGGGAGAGCCTGGGTTTGTGTCCACAACATAATGTCCTGTTTGAAGACCTTACAGTGAGAGAACATCTCTATTTTTTTGGGAAGGTAAACAATAGTGACCACTGCATTACTGTAAAACCAGTTAAATTAACTTAAATATGTCTCATGTTTCCAAAATATTCAGCATTAGTGTACTGTCTTATATAAAATATTACAAATTCAATGGTTAACTATAAATTCTCTACGTATATTTGCAATTACATGTGTTTAGAAATTAAATAGATGTGTGCTGAATTTTAATGATAGCATTAATAATTTTTGCAAAGCTTAATGTTTAAAGTGATTAGTTACAAGATGGATTGCCAGTGGCCAGTGCTATATTCCTGACATGGGCAGGATTTCTGACTTTGCTGTCAATCCAGACTGGCTCTGAGTTCTGAACAGGCTTCTTGCCAGTAGGTACAGAAATACCTTCCCTTGGGAGTAGCTGAGACATGAAGTTGGCTACTCACCTCCATTATGAAATGAGGTTAAAACAGTGTGAAGTTCTAACTCCACTTTCTATATACAACTTCATGGCTTGGTGCTTAGGCTTGGAAGACAGTGTTGAATTCTAAATGTTGGATTTGAGGATCTTACAGCAATAACTTTGAAGAGTACAGTGTTCTGCGTTGTATTTCTGTGTAGTTTGGACAGAGCCTGATACTTTGGAGGAATATTTGCTTCTGTCATGAGGTTCAAAGAGTAAGCCAATCCAAAATATTGATTGACTTTCGCCAAACTACATTTTGACATGATGCCTGAATGCTAGAAGTGTGCAGTCAGAGAAACACAGCAGACACAACTATTGCTAGACAACAGCTAGATGAAACACGTTTCCGCGACAATGAATATGCTTGTATAAATCAACACATTGGTTGGAGATTGTCACAAGTTTTATGGAAATAGAGAATAACAGAGGACAGTCAACTGTCCGACTGGGTGTTCTATATTCAGTCTGTGTGAAGTGAATTCAGTCCAAGTTTCAGAAATCCAGATCCAGAATTCGAGAGACCAAGCAACGACTAAGCAAGCAGACGTTGAAGATTTTATCTTATGTCTTATAGCTACAGTAATCTTTAGATTGTTATAATTAATTGTAGTTAGGACTTGTGAGTATCCAGTTAATCCATTCACCAATCCAAACCCCATCTACAAGTCACTGATACACGTGCCAATATCCAAGAAGACAGAATTATATGAATTTTGAAGTTCTTTCTTGTTTGTAATAGATATTCCTTTTGATCCAGATTTGCATTTCCATTTGGAATGTTTGCCTTAGATGAAGGGGCTGTCTGGTCATGCACTGAAAGCGGAGATAAAGAAATATATTTCACTACTAGAACTGGAACCAAAGGAACATACAGAAAGCAGTAAATTGTCAGGGGGTATGCAGAGGAAATTGGCTGCCGGAGTGGCCCTTTGTGGTGGCTCAAAAGTGAGTCAATATACTACTAAAATTTATTCATTTAAATATTAATAGTTATTACTGGATTAATACTGTAATTAAATACATTACAAATTTCCACACTTATGACCAATTATGTTGATAATATTCTTTTTATTCCATAAATGAACATGTAAATTTGTAATGTATTTAATTCAGTTAATATAGGTAATTTGAATAAAACTGTATTAATTCAAATTTTATAGTAAGTGTTTTACACACTTATGACCACTTATGTTGATAATATTCATTTATGGAATAAAAAGAATGCTGATAAAAAAAATTTTCAATGAATTTTTAAAACTTCTCTCATCAGTAGCCAACATTTTTATTGTTTGAGGAAGATGATTAAAAACTTTAATACCTGATATGTAAACACCTTTATTGTATTTTTGTTAGGTTCAGGTAAATATAAATTATTGAGGGCTCTAGGTTTATATTTGTCAATCTCATTGTTAAAATTAAATAAATGCTGTCTTCTCTCGGAAGATTTTATTAGGGTCGTCAGAAAGTGGAGAATTGTATGAACACCACATGTAGCATGCATAGGATGGAATTAAAAATTTGGTTTGTAAAACTTAAAAAAGAAAAAGAAGCAATTTGGGTAACTTTAGCACAGATGGGATGATAATATTAAAATGGATCATAAACAAATAGTGTGAGAGAGTGTGCTGGATTCATCTGGTTCAGGATACAATGATGGCCCTTTGTAAGGCCTGTATTGAAATTTTTGGTTTCAAGAAAGATGGGGAAATTCTTGATTACCTGAATGATTACTAGCCTCTCAAAAATGACTGTACTCCATGGAGTTATTTAAAATTCCATTTCATTATCACAGAGTCCAAATTATCACGCCATGCAAAATTATGAGAGTTGATTGGTACAATGTGTGATATGTACTGAAGCTTTCTCCAGCAGTTTGATTCAGCATTCAGAACTGGAGTTTTACAACATACTGATAAAAAAATTACTGAAATAGCTAATACTACACCTACAATGAAAACAAGTCTCTGTACCATTACAGTCACTTGTTTGGAAATTTATGAATCTCAGTTCTAGTACAGAAAGTCTTGTGAAAGTTGAAAGTTGTGGGGGACATACACACACACTTTCACATTATGCACTGAATTTATGCACCATTATAAATAACATATAATCTAGCATTTATGATAGTAACACTTTGTACTGCTTAATATATAATTAAATTTTTCTGCAGCATATTTTGAGCTAGGATAGCTAAGTCATTATAGTGACCAGGCTATATGCTGGATTACATTCCCTTTGGGGGGAACAGAGTTTTCTTTTCTTCATACCATCCAGACTGGCTCTGGGGTGAGCGCAGCGGGTACAACGGGTACTGGAGGCTGTTTTGCTTGTGGGGTACACAAAAGTCGCATGAAACTCTATCTTATGCCGAGGTTAAAATTGGCGTATACTTCTACCTCCACCCTCATCACCACGTCTTCATGGCATGATGCTTAATAAATTAAACACAGGGATAATTTTACCTTTACTTTTATCACGTTACACTGTGCAGATATCTGACTATGATATCTGAAGGTAATTAACCATTGTAACTTTCACAGATTGTGATGTTTGATGAGCCAACGTCTGGTTTAGATCCCGCTGCAAGACGAGCATTATGGGATTTGCTTCAGACGGAGAAACATGGCCGTACAACACTTCTTACAACACATTTCATGGATGAAGCAGATCTGCTTGGTGACCGCATTGCTATCATGGCTGGTGGAGAGTTACAATGTTGTGGATCTTCCTTCTTCCTCAAGAAGAAATATGGCAAGTGTTTCTTGAGAACAAAAACTAGGCTCACACCTATACACAGTAAAATCCATTTATTCTAAACCCATGGTACATTATATTTTGTATCGGTAACCTTATGAAAGAAAAATAAGATGTAAGTATGTTTGATTTCCCACTTGCATAAGAATGCCTAAAAATGATGAAAATAGAATGTTGTAATTTTCTGTTGATGACATAATGGTCCACATCACTAACTGATGATAATGTACCCCCTTTTCCAAAATAGACTGAGTAAACTAGAAATGCAAAGAAAACAGCACCATTTATTCATATTTATTTTACCTGCGATTTCAAATTCTCAGATGTGATACTGTGAAGTTTGGTTATTTTGCAACTGTCTCTTCCCAGAAGAATGTAATTTTATTGTGTATCTTCTTCATGGATCTGTATTTACTTAATTTATATTTATCTGTATTTAAGTGATATGAGGGTTGAATGTAACATGGAAGTTGACTACATTCAGAATTCTGGATTATCTGCTATTCATAATTATCTACACTGCTTCTGGCCTGCACTGATATGGATAATTGTGAATTCACTGTACGAGTATTGCAACTGATTCCTAATGTATCTTGTGTACGCAGGCGCTGGCTACCGTTTGATCATTGTGAAGGGACCAGACTGCAATGTCGATTCAGTAACAAGCCTCCTAAATGAATTTATACCAAAGATCAGTGTTGATCAGAATATAGGGTCAGAACTGTCCTATCTCCTGAGTGAAAATCAGTCATCAGTATTTGAAGCCATGTTATCTAAACTTGAAGAGAATAAGAAGAAGCTGGGTTTGCTCAGTTATGGTGTGTCCCTAACAACTATGGAAGAAGTGTTCATGAAGTAAGTTTTTTTTTATTGCTAGTGGGGTGGGACTAAGTCCCTTGTACTGCGGCCACTTCTGGTCTATTGTACCAGGCCCAGATCATAGGTGAGGGTGATTGTGGAGCAATTGGTGGAATGAAGATTGGCAGGGGAAACCGAAGTACTTGGAGAAAACCTGCCCCAGCGCCACTTTGTCCACCACAAATCCCACTTGACCAGACCCGGGATCGAACCCGGGCCGCCGCAGTGGGAAGCCAGCGACTAACCGCTTGAGCTATGGCGCGGCCAATGAAGTAAGTTAATATGTGATGTGTTCCATCTCCAATGTACTAATGCAGTACAGGGAATTCCAGTCCTATTGTTTTCTGTGATGTCAGCTACATAGTCAAAACCCAATCTCCATAAAATTAATCTGGATACTGCAAGCACACAGTGTTTCCTTGTACAGGTATCCCATGTTTACTTGATAGTTTCATTCATTAGAGCGGATCTGTATTTTTAATTCACATAACTCAAAATTTTGTTTCGTGAAATTTTTTACATCCCTTTGCTTTCACTGCTTTTAGTTTTAATTTTAAAATACAGAAACGATTTAATTGAAAACCATTAATTTTAATCGTTTATGAATTCTAATTTGTTTATTTTTGAAAATATCATTATTTTTTAGTCTTTACTAACGAATGAAATTAAAATCATATGTCTACACATTAAGGTCGGAATTGCATAAGTTAGGGGGTACCTATATATTGTTTATTTTCATAGATTTTTAATTTGTCTGTATTCCGCTTTTGTTCATTACTTAGAATATTATGTAGCATCTATTCTTTCAAAGCATTATCATATAACTCTTCTTATATCTCATTGTAACTTTTTCTATTTTCTACTTGCTCACAGAAAAGAATCTCAGTGATCAATTACTTCCACATCTCTCTCAAGGCGTTATGCATGTTTCCACATATTACCCTCCAATTTTAGCCACTCCATTCACATGAATGTTGATACCGACAACCATATTAGCTGTACTGAATCCTTGTTGCTTAGTACTATAAGGTAAGGTAAAGTTGTCCCCATGCTTAACTAATTAAGCACTATCCCATGAAGGCATATGGGGCAGTGGATGTATAGATCCATTATAGGGTAGGTTAATATCAATATGAAACATGCCAGAGCATTTTGCTATACTGTTAGAAAGAGTCATATTGTTATGGAGCATGTGATGTTTATGTATATGGACTGAACTTCTGTGCTGGAAATTTGACTGCCTTTTCCTTCAAGAGTTGGGAAAGACACGGAGATATCTGCTCCTGCTGAACACCAGCAGACCAATGGCATTGACAATGTGGTACATTCAAGTACCTTTGAAGTAGACGACAGCTCCATTTTGCCAAGCGGAAACAAATGTAAGTAAAGACTGCTCACTTATACTGATAATGATAATGATTTGGACAGAAGAATGACCCTTGACAGCAGAATATTGTCATAGTTGCATTTGGTTTCTCAAACATTCTACAACATTGTAAGACACAGCTTTCTATAACCCAGCACAAATTCCTGAGGACATGAACGTGGTGTTTATTTTTCAAAGTTTGTTGGTTTATTGCAGGTTATTAAATTAAAAATACAGCAACAATGTTGTACTTCTAGTTTATGCAGGGAAGATATCTGGCACCTGTGCCTTTCTGCTTTGTGCAACTTTCCTACTCAGTCAGCTGTTTTGTTAGCAAGATAGTAGCAGCACCACATAGTAAGGTTATGGGGCCATTTCTACACTTGCATTGTATATCTGAGAATTAACTATATCCACATACAGGACCTTATGCTCAGGGTTCATGAAAGTATCAGCTTGCACAACATGGAGTGGAACTTCATGTAATAGATGTGAATTTCCTGTGCTACAGTGCTCCAATGTTGTTTTGTGTCAATATGCCTACTAAACGAAAACCAAGCCTCACCTGAAAAGAAATCTACTTGTGAATTCAGGACTCAGTTTATCATCATTAATTGCCTGAAGCAACCATTTGCAGAAATTGAATAGTACACATTGTAATTTCAGTAACTTTATCATGGTCCTTTTGGTATTCCTGTTTCTTGTGTAAAGTATTCCACCCTTTAAAGCACAGTGATTGCTATATTTACAAACTGCTTTAAGATTATAAATTTCTTAATTTACTCACAGAGTGATTTATATATATATATTTCCTTAAATAGCATTAACTGATTTGGCAATGTCATTGATGCAGCATGTATTCTGAGCAGTGGGAAACAAATTTTAAAATTTTATTTAGATAAATTCGTTTCTCAGATAGTTTGGAGACTTCCAGAGTGAACGTTCAAGCCATGCTCTGACATCCAGCTATTCTTGTGTTAGTATTCAAGAGCGGCATTTGGAATCCTCTCTATTAATATGCCAGTTGTTCTTACCCTAGTAAACTTTCCTGTGGATTTTCTGTGACACTTCCTAATACATACATACATTTCATTTCACAAGTCCAAACAAATGGACATGAAGGTCGTCATACAAAAATGGACTTCACCTCATATAGTATTCTTATAAAACACTTGATACTTTAGTGTAAACTTATCCATGTTCAATGGGAAAGGAACTTTATGAGAACTGTAATGGAATTTCAAGCCATAGTTTTACAAAACCGCAGAATTACACAAATTTACAGCTTCAGAATCTAGCAAGTTCTGTAACAGGCATGTTCAGTAAGTCCATAAAAGCAAACTTAGTTCCAAGTTAACTTTCTCGTTTTAACCAAGCAAGGCTCAGTTTTATTAGAATGGACATATTAACATGCAAGGTAATAGATAAAGGAGTACAGATTATTCTTGTTTTATTCATGAAATTCCAGTCCATGGCGTAAAAGATGGTGTTTGATGCACCTTGATTGCAAGTAGGGTTATGAACCCTGTGTTATATGCAGATACACATAACTCTGAGAGCTATGTAACACAGACTCTAAGCAGGTCAGTTAGCTTTAGGCTGTGGTGATGATATACTCTATCAGTGCACCTGACTGAATAGGAAAAATGGCAGCTCATGCAGTGAGTACATACTGTGGAAAAGCAATGCACAGCCACACAATATTCTGGTTATATAAATTAATATGTATTCTTCTCACAAATGTCGTATAGGAATTTTGTATTGTGTTTAATATAACGAGAATGAATGTAAAGTTCACTTAGTAGTGATCATAGCTGATGAACATAAAGGTGAAAAACAAATGCCGTAGTAATTAAGAAAGTGTTAGAAACGTAATCATATTTCTGCAGAATGTCAAACTGAAACTGATGTTCACTTTCTCCTTTTAACATTTTAATTTACATTCAAAACTTAATATAACGTACCTGCATTTTGAATAAAAAATAATGTCAGTAATATTATTTGAAAAAAAAAAAACAAACAACTCTTTATGGCATCTATATTGTTAAACCAAAGTGTTGCATATAATTTTTGGGAATGGAAAGGGAAAATGTTGGACTGTTTGTCACATGATTCTACTTAAATTTTCTCAGTTGTTTGATTCACTTACCACCAAGATTTTATAAATGAATAATTTCATCATGTCTCCCATATGTAATATACGTCATTACCGATAACTGTAATAATTTTAAATTGCAAATGCATGTCTTACAAATTTTGCACTTGTTTCCACGTAGAGTAGAATATCTTCATGAAGGCAAGCATCTAACTGCTCTACACATCACAGTTTCATTACATGTTGTTTATATTTGTCTTATGCTTAACTGACCTTGTGTTGTTGGTTATGGTTTTAGTGTACATATCCTTTCAGTTTCCAATGGAATATGCACTGTGTTTTCAGGTTTTGCGACATGTATTAATCACCTTTATATGAGTCCAAGGAATGCTAGCAGATTCATAGGTGATTTGTTCATATTCACGTCACTAAATCGCACCATCATGTTCGAATGCACTTACTTCCTAAAAATGTTGCACTGTTTAGAAGCACCACAGAAACATAAAATAAATTGTAACCTTATGAAATATGCCAGTAAATATTTTATAGATTTTTATAAACCTGTCTCTCCACGTTTTGTATGAAACATGAATGAGTAGCTCACACATGGCAGAACCATTTTGTTTCTGTTCTTGTGAATATTGTCTTTTCATTAATTTGCATTCTGCTGCTTTAGCAGTCAAACTTCTTTACTTGAATATTTGGTATTTTTTATAGTTCATATTTTCCTATACATAGAATTGAGATCAGACAGTTCCATTTTTAGTTTCAATCTTTTTTTCCAGTCCTATTTTATATTCTTTAATTATGTGGATGTTTTAGAATACATGTAATAGTTACCAGAATTGTAGAGATATGAGGTATGTCATCACTAACCATTTTGTGTTGTTGAATAAAACTTCAAACATGGTGGACCCAGCTATATGAAACAATATCAACATTGGATGTAATTAGTAGGCTACTGACAGTGTTTATTTTTCAGTCAGGAGACATATAGGTAAACAACTGACAGTGCCAGCAAACTTGTCAAAATTCGCTGATCTTCTAATGCATTCATATTTTGGCCTTGAGGCTAAAATTGACCATGGAAATACTGGCAAACATGTTCATAGAAAAAAAGTGCTGCTGATTTGAATAAACCCACCATCAAATTTGGGTGTTTCGTTTCATAATGAAGTTCAATTCTATGAGATAGGTTATGGCAGAGCTTCAGTTATCCCTTCATTTTGAAGATATGCAAGTTAAAATAAGTCAACAGGTAATCCTGTGCAGACAGTTAATGTTATTTCAAAGTTATAGGTACTCTACAAAACTGAAACAAATCCTGCATAGATGGAAACCCCTGTACATTTATATTCATAGCTGATGTTGGGTGCATGAAAAAGTCGAGGGGGCAATTTAAATTTATAACAAGGTTCATATGACTCCAGATTATGAATGAAAATTATTGTAATGCCACATAATAATTTATTCATTAACTCATATTATAAATTTCTATTATGTGTATGAATTTTAAATGTGTTACATGTGTCATGAAATTCTGGGATGTATTATTTACTGTGGGTGTATAATAACATGAATAACTACATCTGCAGGTAAATATATATTAAATTCTTTAATACCTAACCGGGGTGTCACTGCAGCAGAAGAAATTTCTATGCATTTTTAGCACCAAGAGGAATTCATATTCTGAAAACAATATGTCACGACTGCAGGCCAATGCAAAACAAAAAGCAATCAAAGGTCATTTTAATTTGAATTATCTGTTAAATTGGTTGACACATGTATAATTTTTGCTTATTATTTTTAGTTTTATACATTGGGTGGGAATTATACCCAGCAGTAGAGAAATGCATTGGATTAGATTAGATTAAGGATTAAGGAGAGTGGTTGTAAATAACCATTTGATGACCAGGCTTAATAACAGTAAAGCATGATGAAGCCCTGCATCCATTTCCCATCATCCTGTTACAGTAATGGTATCAGTAGATACACTTCAACATATATGTCTTGGTCCATTAGAATTCCCTTCTTATTCCAGTAAAGATGTCACGCTCTTTTTAACATCAATTTCATTCTCTTTTATAGCTGAATTATATTTCCATCTAAGCTCTGTAAATAAATCATAAGAATATACTCCATTATTTAGCCCTGTCCCTCATCCATTTAAAATACTAATGAGATCCAGGGTTCTCACAATGGTGAAAGTCAAGATCATTTTTTTTATGAGAAGTACCCCCATCTACTTTGATAGATAGGCATTGACGTTTTCAGAAGACCTGTTTCTTTCATCTGCAGGGTAGAAGGCATTCAAATCAAACTCCTCTACCCTGAAGTTAGAAACATTGTTACTCATATATTAAATTACATGGCATTGCAACCCAGACAACTGTGGTCGTAAAGAAACTAGTGTTTAGTGATTTCAGCCCAGTTTTATCCATGAATTTAAAGCATAGATGAAATTTTATTGTTTTCATAAATTGGAAGACTTCATAATTTTTCTTTCAGCTCTTATGTCATGGGGAACCAAATATTAAAATCTCTTTCATAGTGCAAATAAAGCAACTGTTTCAGAATAAAAGTACCGGATTATCCTGCATCACAAGTAGATGTAAATCTGTTAAGCTGATTACTACAGTTTTTGCCACTTTTCTTTACATCTAAATACACATGATTCAAGAGGGATGAAATAGTAGGAGCCTGGAGAAAAAATGCATAACGAGGAACTTCATAACTTATACGCGTCACAAGATATAATTAGATTGATCAAGTCAAGGATGATGAGACGGGCACAGTACGTAGCACAGACAGGAGGAAAGGAATGCATTCAGTGGTTCAGTGGGGAAACCTGAAGGAAAGAGCCCAGTGGGAAGACCTAGATGTGGATGGGATATTAAAATGTATTTTAGAGAAACAGGTTGTGGGGTATGGTATGGATTCATCTGGCTCAGAATAGGGATCAGTGGTGGGTTTTTGTTAACACAGTACTGAACGTTTGGGTTCCATGAAACACTGGGAGTTTCTTGAGTAACTGAGTGACTCTTGGTTTCACATGAAGAACTCAGCTTCATGGAGCTAGTTAGTTGGCGGTTTAATTTATTTGCTAGCACTGCAGACAAAACCTTGATCAGTACAATGAGCTTCTCTGTTCAGAAGAGTTCTCTTACAGTTTTCATGAAAGAAGGAATTTGTATCTCCTTTTAAATAAAATGTCCCTCCGTTTTAGAAGCGATATTGCTTGTTTTAGTGGCTGATGAATGAAAGATGTAGTTAATGTTGTTATGGTGAATAAGAAAAATGATGTGGACAGGACACGTAGCATGCTTGTGGGAACAATGAAAACATACTTAATACTAGTTGGAAAGTCACAGAAGAGTAAACCTACATAGAGATGGAAAGATAATAAGAATATGTTAGATAATTAATTTATGTAAATATGAACTGAATTGAACTAGATCAGTGTAGAGTTTTTTTTAACCAGCTTGTATTTTTTTCTCAAGGAAAACACGGTGTCGATTAAATGCAATACTTGACAATTTGATGTAATTCTTTGTAATTCTTTCTAGCGTTATTTTGTTTCCTTTTTCATGTCTCTAAAGTAAACAGTTTGTTACATTGGTATGTTGAATACTCCAGCTTTTTCAAAATGACATACCTGCATGGACATCAGAGATCAGTGAACCTAGAAACTGAAGATTGCTGTTTTCTGGTATATGATGCCATTTAGTTTGGTAGATATATAACAGTGTTCCAGAGGAACATGCTGCATACTTCTTCAGAGTTGCTTGCTCTTCTACTCTGAAGATGGATGCAGCATGTTATAGTTTATTACACACATGTATGCATGCATGCACGCACACAACACATGCATGCATGCACACATTTACAATATTACGTGATTATGTGTTTTGTAACAGACAGTTTGCTATCAGATGCAGATATTTAAGGAATGCTGAACAAAATACTGTACTGCTGTAATTTTCTGAACATGAAGTAATAATCATGTCATGGTTCTGATACAAACCTTTTTCACTCTATGTTGCACATGCAATTTATTTCTCATGCAAGTGTTTTTCATCATTAATGATTCGTTTGCACTGAATGAAAGTTCAGTTGCATATTTGAAGCATCATTGGTGATTTCTGTTTATAACAACAGAATCTGTATCACAGTAAAGACTACAAATTACCATTAATTGTATTGTTATTGTTGCAACATATAATTCATTTATTACATTTTTATTTTGTAATATTTCAGTGACCATGCCTCATTATCCTCTTTTGAAAGGAAGCGAACTACTGATAAATCAACTGATTGCTATGTTCATGAAGAAAGCATTATATGTGTGGCGAACATGGTATATAACATTGATTCAGATTCTAATGCCTTCCCTTTTCCTAATACTAACAATCGTTATAGTCAAGACATGGCAGACAATTCCAGACCTACCTCCACTGAAAATGGACTTAAAGGTAAGATATTGTCCAGTCCAGACTCAAAAGGCTGTTGTTATATAACCTTGGCACAAACTCTATAGATGACATCATTTATAACAGTTCCTCTATTGTATGTAGTTATCCGTTACCACGATATGTGTTTATCAGGCTATGGAAACGTGTTTTGTTCACTGTTGCCTAACAGTGAACAGTTTTTCTCATTATCGTGTAGGAGTACAAAATGAGACATAGCCTATGCATGATTAACAGATGCCAGGAAACTAGTACACAGAATGTGATACCTTAAGGTTGAGAGTCTGGTGTATGTTGAATTTTCTCCCCCTTTACACTCACTTTGCAGTGGAAACCTCAGTTTATGTGAGAATTGTACATTACATCAATAAGTGTATTTCTGGCTACTTCATGTATACCACTTGAATAAAAATTTCAACTCTCTCCGTTCCTTTTTCAGATTTTTGTTCAATATTATTGAAGTCATAATAGGAAGTCTGGGTTTATTAATTATCACAAAATCGAAGTCACTGTGTGTATTTTCTTATATGTATCACTGTTTAATGTATTGAAGAGTGTAAATATCACATTACAAGAAGAGTATGATCATGTGGGTTGCAATGCTGTGTGGTTTGGTAGAAGTCCGCCAACATCCCTCCCAAACATTTGTGGACTTCTAAAAAAACTGCATAATGTTACAACTGAAAAGATTTGCATTCTTCATACTCACTGCTATGAGAAATCCAAAATTACTTTCAAAACTATCAAAAAGGCCTTAGATTTTTTATGGCTGTGAGACTTGCTCTCTCATCATAACTGAAAATCATAGATTGAGAGTATTTTAAAACAGAATACCAAGAATAATACTTGGATATAAGAATATGAAAGTAACAAGGGGATAGAAAGGATCAGGCAGGTGTTGGTAATATTTCTATAATTTTGGTTGCTATTTTATATGGATGTCTCATGGGAAGATTGCAGGCTGGGGAGTGTCTGAGAATAAAGTGAGGAGTGAAATATTTGTACCTAAATGTCAGTAACATGAGCCTGGAGAAAATTCCACATCAAATGGAATCAGAATGATGATATCAGGGAAGGTGAGGTTTGTAGATTGTTTGAGAGAAAAGATAAATACATACAAAATTTTGATCAGAAAAACCTGAAGGAAAGAGATCAAATGGAAGACCTAGGCATAGATGGGGCAGGGGTTAATATAAGTATGGATCTTAAAGAAATAGGATACCAAAACTGAATTCGTTTGACTCAGAACAGGGAACCGTGGGAGGTTTCTACTGAGCAAGATACTGCACCTTCAGGTTTCATAAAATGCAGGGAATTTCTTGGCGGGTTCAGCATTTATTAGCCTCTCACACAGGACTCTTCTCCACGGGATTATTTCGTTATTTGGTAATGTTTGTTGTGGAGTTTTTAAGACATGTTTGGTTCATTGAACCACACAAGAGAAATGAAATTACAAGTTTGATAATGAGCATACTATATTGAAATTATATACAATATAGTATTTTATGTGATAGAAGATACATTCTTCATACAGTACTTATATTATGTAGTGTCAAATCTTGTTGATTATTCTGCAGTTGTTTAAATTTAAATTGTTTTTTCCATTGTTTCAGGCCTATGGTAAAATATTCACTCCAATAGAAGTGAAAAATGAACATCTACGTAATGTTTCCTTGATATACAAAGATCTTACAGGTGGTATTGTACTGAATGAAACAACCAAGATGTCTGACTATATACTGAGACAGGCAAGTTACTGTTTGTTTTAACATATTAAATTCTTTCCCATTCCCCAGTAATACTGTGAACAGCATTCATTACATTTTTCACCAGTTGGAACTGCAATTGCCGCTGATTTGGAAGGGACAACTTCTAGTCACCACAAAACATGAAGGTTACTACTTGGTATATTATGTACAACTCTTAGATGTTATCCATTATCATATTGTGCTATATTCAGTTTCAGCCAACATCAAGAAATAGTTATCTTCTTTAACTGCATCCTTTGACATATTAATTTGTGTTGCACTTTTGTTTTCATGTTTTTATCTTAAAATTGCACTATTTTAGGAAAGTGGTGAGAAAATACTTTAGAGTGAAAGAGTTAAAAAAAGTTTCCTATAATTCATGTTTGTAATTTTACAAGGAATTCTGAAGTTCAGATATATTAAAAAATTATAAATTTTTTAATTGCAGAATATTTTCAAGCTATAGACATTTCTACAAAATCTTATATTTATTAAACTTAAATTATTTTTAAAACCTTTAGTGCTTTCTCAATTTTTCTAATTTATTTAATTTTGAAACATGAATTGATTCATATATGTCACTGCACACAAAGCCTGTGTGCGTCAGCTTATCCCTGTCTGAGAATTCACCTAGGATCATCCACATTGATGTGGTTTTAATTTGGTTTTATTGTTGAATCAAATAATCACAATGTGGCATTACAACAGTGATCATTATGTGGCAGTAGGAGTAATATTTTTGCAGGACTGTCATGGTAGTCACTACCAATATTTCAGAATAGTTTACAGGCACCCTCAGTAACTTTCTTTCATCAACACAAATGATACATTTAATAGTCAGCAGAAATGTAAGTATGGTGTCATAATAAATAAGCAATTTTATTATTCAGTAAAGAAAATTACAGGATAACCTGAGGCACAGAATGTGTTCTTTCACTAAAAATACATAAAATGTAAAATACCGTAGATTTAGATTATGTGAAAAACTAATAAGAGTGATATAGGCTGCGCCATAGCTCAAGCGGTTAGTTGCTGGCTTCCCACTGCGGCGGCCCGGGTTCGATCCCGGGTCTGGTCAAGTGGGATTTGTGGTGGACAAAGTGGCGCAGGGGTTGGTTTTCTCCGAGTACTTCGGTTTCACTTGCTAATCTTCATTCCACCAAATTCTCCATCATCATAATCACCCAGGGCAGGTACAATAGTGGCCACCATGCCAAGTGGACCCAGTTGGACTCCACCCCCCACTAAGCGAATTAAAATTAAAAAAAAAAAAGATGAGCCATAACCTGGAAATTCCTTAATTCTGATCAAATCACACCAGAGTCTGGAAACAAAATTCAGTTTTGAAGGACAATATGTTGAAAGGAAGCAGGTACCTCTCTTATAGAAACTCGATTGTGTTTGATACATTGAGTGTCAGAGAAAGCGGTTGCATTGTGTGTATGCTTACCCATCAACAGTTTTGTTTTTGAAGAAATGAATTTGTCTTATTTTCATAACTCTGATGTAATAATACTAACAAGAAGTTCTTCTTCTGATTTCAGTCAAAAATTGATCTACGAGAAGTGAGGCAGAATTACATTATGGGAGCAACTTTCTGTGGTAATGAAACAGCACCAACAATCATAGGCTGGTTCAACAACTTGCCATACCACAGCATTCCTCTTGCAGTTCAAACAATTTACAATACTATTCTCAGATACTACACTTACAACAAAACCATCAATGTTGTCAATCATCCTCTGCCTTATACTGAAGACACTGTGGTAATTACCTTTCTTCATGTGGGGCATATAGTAGCCATGCACAAATCTAAAATTTTTGACATAGCTGAACATCGATTTTTTCCAGAATTAAACTTTGAGAATTTTCAGGAAATTATTGCGCAATATTACACAGACTACTTGATGGATGAGAATTTCAATGGATGGTAGAGTTAGTATAAATCTGCTTATCAGTAAAACTCTCCAAATTGGCCTCATGTGAACAGGACTTTCTTTCACTCAGAATCACTTGAATGATATACCCGCAAAGTTCGGTAAACTCTTGAATTATCCCATATATAAAATTGAAGGGGGGGGGGGATTTTTTCACATGCTACCATCTTCAACATTAGTGTGACATGCCTTGTGAGTCCTTCAGACTTGTTCTAGTAACATAGGAACAACTACTGTTTTTATTAACAAGTATGACATAAGATGTTATGGCTAAATTAGGCATAAAAGTAAAGTAAAGTGAAGGCCCATAGGGTTGTGAGATGTTGAGATTCTCACATTTCCTAGACAATTGGCTGATAGATAGCGGCAAGGTTGTCAGCCTTACGTGTCGGCCGCCCTTTACCCCCAAGAATATTCGGAGAATATTCCTGGTACTCATTTCTGTTAGAGGCTGAGTTGACCCCAGGGCCATAGTGCGGCCGGAAGGATTAGGTCAACTGAAAAAAATCCAGTGACCTCACCAGGACTTGAACCTGTGACCTTCTGGCTTGTAGCATAGTGTTGCAACCAACTACGCTACTGCGTGCCCCCCTTAATTAGGCATTCTGATTATAAAAATGATAACCAGGAAGATGTAACATGCACTGTTTTTTTAAACATTGTTTTCTCACGTTGTTGACTAAAATGATAAAGATGCAAAATAAAAATACAAACGTGAAAATAAAATGTGCTGTTTTAGTTCAAAATTTATTACACAAAAGTAATATGATGCCAAATTTTTGTGTCCAGATTTGAAATCAGCATATGAAGATTAATTTAAAAAGTCAGTTCTCTTCGACATTACTATAACTTTGTTGCCTAGTGTAATAACAGACTTCTAGACAATATGTGTTCTTTCAAGCATCACATCAAGGAGAATGAGATGGGCAAAGCATATAGCACGAATGTGGGCTAAGAAGAATGTGTATAGGATTTTGGCAGAAAAGCCAGAAGGAAAGAGACCGCTAGGAAGGCTTAGACATAGGATGGGATGCTATGGATTGGATTGTTCTGGCTCAGGATAGGGACCAGTGGAGGGCTCTTGTGATCACGGTTCTTAACCTTTGAGCTCCATAAAATATTGGAAAATTCTTGAGTAAATGCACAAATGGCAGCTTCTCAAGAAGGGCTCAGCTCCACGGAGCTAGTTAGTTATATGTTGTTTTAAGATTTTTTTCGCTTGCTGTTACAAAAATAAGTTTGAATTCACAAGGATTTCATTGATTCTCTTTCTTCCAGATCAGCTTCCAGTCTTGGGCATCAAACAATATGGGTTTTCAAGTGTCGTTCAGTTTGGGGTTCAGCATGGCCTTTGTTTCAGCATTTTTCATAATCTTCTATGTGAAGGAACGTGTAAGCAAAGCAAAGCACTTGCAGATTGTGTCTGGAGTTGAAGTGCTGACATTCTGGCTCTCTTCTATTGTGTGGGACCTGTTCTTCTTCCTGCTTCCTGTTGTTGGTGTCATTATTACTTTCGCAGCGTTCAGAGAGGATGGCTTCCGCACAGGTGCAGAACTAGGTAAATTTAAGAAACATTAATTTTTCAGTACATTTGTTTTATAAAAGATATTAATTTCTTGAAATTCGTTTATTAAGTAACTGCTGGTTACCTTGTTTTGAAGACAGCAATGAGTGCTGTCTGCTGGACTGACAAAATATTCATAGATTTGTTCTGTAGTTATTGAATAGGAACTTCATAATGTTGTATTTTAGTGTCCTGTTGCACTGATTCATATCCATAATGTGTATATATTTTCACCGTCTTTTATTGCATACAATTTCACTTGTCACTTCACACTACATGTTTCGGCATCATTCTGCCATCCTCAGGTGTATCAGTCAGGTTAAACCATTGCACTGCTGCCATCAAGCGTCCATTTATAATATGATATACAACATGTAAGATGATAGATCTTAATAAGTTTTAATATACAAATTTTATTATTGAACAACGACGAACACACATTTTATATCATTTTATAAATGGACACTTGATGGCAGGCAATGCAATGGTTTAACGTGATTAATACACCTGAGGATGGCAGAATGATGCTGAAACATGTAGTGTGAAGTGACAAGTGAAATTGTATGCACTAAAAGACGGTGAAAATATATACACATTATGGACAGGAACTTTATGTTCACTGTACTTGTGTTTTCAGGCAGAATTTTCGTAGTGATGATTTGTTTTTCCTGGAGCCTGTTGCCAGCAACATACCTACTTTCATTCATCTTCAGTATTCCATTGACAGGGTTCACAAGAATGACTATGATCAATGTGGTGACAGGTATGTCTTCCCATCATTTCCTTTGTCTCAGTTTGCTTCTATTTTTATGTGTGAACACAAAGTATGTGATTTGAACTGCAAGAAATATGTTACTGATGATTGCAAAAGGCAGTAACCTAATCTATGCTCTTTTTTATTATATTCATGAATAAGCCATTCTGGGGTATTAAACTAACTTGTTCATGCAGTGGTGATAAGAACAAGGCTGGTCTCCAAAAGCTGGAGTTTTACTCTACAGCAATGCAGATAAATTACTCAAGAGGATTTAATTACATTTGGTGTCTGCAGGATGTATCAATTCATAATGTGGTCTTCTGGCTTATGACACTGTAGTCTTGTAAGTGTGGAACATACTGAATCCATATCCTATGTGCAGAAATGAAGATGGAGACTTCATGTTCCTCAGAAACACTAGTATCAACCTACTAGGCTTCATGGTACCATGACCCAAAAGACCACAGTATGAATCAGAACTGCTATGAAAACCTCAAATCATATATGTATAGAACTTATGCTTGCTTTGCCATTAGGTCTCTGAAATCGTTACTATCTATTAATGATCTAAAAATGATATATTTTGCCTATGCTCACTCTATAATTGTATATGGAATTGCCTTTTGGGGAAATGCCACTAATAGCAAGGATGTCTTCATAGTGCAAAAAAGAATTATAAGGAGTATTATGAATGTAAATTCTAGAGCCTCTTGCCGGTGATTTTTTAAATATTTAAACATATTGCCTTTTTATTCTCAATATATACTTTCGCTTTTGCTTCTGGTGGTGAAAAATATGCATTTGTTTGCACTAAATGCTGAAATACATGTCATAAATACACGACAAAGTACCAGCTTACACGTGCCATTGATAAATTTGGCCAAATATAAGAATAGTGTGTGTTGTATGGGTATTAAAATATTTAATAATCTGCCACATAATTTAAGAAAATTATCGAGTGATTATAAAAAATTTAAGTTAGCTATAAATAATTTTCTCTTAAATCAATCATTTTATTCGATAAATGAATACTTGGAGTGGTCAAAAGAAAGGAAATAGAATACAGGTGAATATTTGTTTTATTTAGATACACTTATGTGTAGTAGTTTTTGTAGACTCTGTATAAATGTATGTATACTTTTATTATTAATTGCTTATAATGTCCGTATTTTAGTTATTATTGATTTATTATACTAAGCATTGACTAAGTTGTATTATTGCAACTGTTTTATTATAGTATATGTTACTATTTGGGACTGCTTCTACAACTGTGGTGATTGTGTCGCCTGTACGTTTTTCTTGAAGCAATAAAGATATTATTATTATTATTCCTGTTCATTGGTGTTCATAGGTTTCATAAAACTCACTAAAAATATTCTGTGATGTTGTAATATTTGGCTGTGAGATGTTTCATTAGAGCTTCCCAAATTGCATTTATATTTCATGTTATGCCCTTGTATCTTAAATGTCTTCCTTGAGTCATCCTCTGAATGCAGTGCCAGATTAAGAAATAAAAATGTTTCAAAAGAATCAGCTGATCCCTCCTCAAAGTTGAAATTAATACTGAAGAAGGAAGGAGCAGATTCCACCAAATTCTTGGTAATATTTTTATTCTCTGACATGGTACCATACGTAGAACATGATGTAATGAACTTTGGAGCATCGACCACCATGACAACCACAAATACCATAAATGTAATAGAACCTTGATTCTTGTTTCAGGTATTGCCTTGTTTATGACAGTGAATATTTTGAAATTACCATCGCTGGAACTACAGGACGTGGCTGAGATTCTGGACTGGATTTTTCTTTTCTTCCCACATTACTCATTGTGTTCCTGTGTGCATGGCTTATATACAAACTATGCGTATAACAAAGCATGTTCTGCTGCACTGCTATTTCCAGGATTATGCCTACGACCCAATATCTGTTGTAAAAGTAAGTGAATTGATGTACATTTTACAATAGATCTTAATTTAACTTCTGGTACATTTTCACAAGTTTGGTCTTTCTTGGAGCAGCACCTATGACCTTCATGATAAGGCTGTTATGTCTCCAATTTTGAGCTGAATGATAGGATTGGGCAGTTAGTACTCCTGGTTCATGTTTAGAAGATCTTGGATATGAAACTTGACCCAAATATTGAATATTCTGACTGACGGTTTTAATGTTTTACCTTTGTTGCTCAAGGCAAAGACTTTGAAAATATGTTAATACAGGGTGTCCCAGGAGGAATGGACCAAACTTCGGGAGGGTGTTCCTTATGTTAAAGTATGCCGATATAACCCAAAACACCTATGTCCAAAGTTGAACGGTTACGGAGATAATGGCCAGAGAAGTGTCAAACTTTGACCGGCGTTGCACACTTGTTGATTACAAAATACATACTAAAACTGGCAGGAATATGTGGATTCTGTAATGTTAATAATGTACGTAACATCAAACTAACTTGTGAGTGACATGAAGCCATAAAATTGAAGCACAAAATACTCGCTCGCCATGTCATAATTGTCCTTAGGGTTTCCAAGCACTATACATGACACATGAATGGCAAGCGCTGACGTAATGTGCTGACTGTGCGTTCTGATAAAGCCAACTACATAAGCACGGCTAGGGTGAATCATCACACTCAAGGACAAACATATATAAGGCCTCTCAGCTGAGAGGTACAGTGCGTGGACCTGCCAGAAGACCACACTTTTCTTGGGCCATTATCTCCATAACCGTTCAACTTTGGACATAGGTGTTTTGGGTTATATCGGCATACTTTAACATAAGGAACACCCTCCCGAAGTTTGGTCCATTCCTCCTGGGACATTCTGTATGTATATAGCATGACCATTTCATATAATTCCAATTCATCATTCACACATCATCCTACAATTTGATATAACATGACCAGTGCAGGTGAAAAAGTCTTGTTAAAGTAATAAAAAATTCCGTCTATCTCCAGGTTTATACTGCAGTTTCCATAAACAGTTTTATTTCTGGTTGGATGTGGACAGTATTATAGAACATCTGGATTTCTTATGACTCATAGGTTTACTTGGCTAGTCATGTTACTGTAGTATTTCAAACTGTCATTGTCATGGAATTTTTATGTCAACCATAAATTTTGCTGAATAATTTTATATTTGTTATGTGCTAGGTAGATACCTACTCCTCCCAAATAAAAGATGGATGCGAACATAAGAAATCAGTATTATGGTACACAACTTTTTGTAAGAGTATTATTTTCTGGATTTCTGAATGTAGCACTGAAAAAATCTCCAGTCATGAAATGTTTCTGAGGTCACAATCCTGCATCACAGGCACTTAATTTTTGTTATCCCTTTTGCAATACTTTGATCAGTTGTCCTTGGCCTACTTATTTTCTTATTCCGTCTTACTGTTCCCTTTGATTGACCAATATAATAGGATATTTATAATTCAAGTATGATCTATTTTATGTTGGTAGTTCAAGAACTATTTCATTCTGTAATATAATGCATCTGTGTTGATAATTCAAGAACTATTTCAGCCCATAATACAATCAATCTGTTTGGTAGCTGAACTATGTTATTCTAAATATAATGAATCTGTTGTCAAAATGGATGCAAGATGTAGACATGATTAGAAATTGAAGGCTCGTTTATTCACAACTGCAATGTCATATGCAGGTTTTAAAACATGAGATAATGAAACCCTTCATACTTCATATATTCTGTGAAATCAGACTTATAATATGTTTCTTTCAGATAACTGCCCTGAAAATGGTTGTTTACAAAGGACTGATGACTATTTTGATTGGCAGGCACCTGGTATTGGACGCAATATTGCATTCTTCATACTTGATGGAATTTTTATCCTGATAATACTGTTAATGATGGAGTTCAGGCTGTTTGAGAGATTTGCATATTTTATACAGAAGTCAGATGTTAAAATAGGAACAGGTGAGGTAAAATTTGTAAGTTTAAGTAACAAATAAAGCAAAAATTAATGAAATGAGATTTAATTATATGTGGTCATGAGTTTGCAGATAATGATGGATATGAAGAAGAATTAGACAGTGATGTTTCGGCAGAAAAACTGAAATTACTTACAACTGAAACTAGTCTTCTGCTGAACGAATATGAACTGGTTCTTAAGTAAGTCATTAGTTACAATCCCCAAAATATTTGGTTTAGTTTATGTCCACTCAGAGAATCTTGATCATTACTATACTGAGCAAGCAGGCTCAAGTAGTGGTTTTCTAATGTGTGTGAGAAGTGGTCAGTTTGATTCTTAGCTGGAATCCTAACTGAGATCCTTCATAGTTTTCTTAAGTTCATCCAGTCAGATTCCATGATAGTACCTTAAATCAGGACATAACTGCTTCCTTCCACATTATTTTCAATTGATTATCCACTAATTACTTACTACAGTTTGACACTGCACAGCAAGAGCTACTAGCACCATTGTCGAATAAGCCATAAATAAACACATAACCATTTACTGAAGAAAATAGTGCCTGTAATCTGACAATTTCTGCGGCCTGCTCAGTTTTAAAGAAAGAACAGTTAAATGCTCACAGTTAACTCTAGACTTCCCCACTTAACATTTTTATTCTGTTGCTATTTCAAACTGCATATTACGATACAGTGAACTGTCGATTAACCGTGGTAATGAAGGGGAGAATTGGCGTGGTTAATTAAAAAGTGTGGAAATACTTACTACTGACCATGCTGTATTAAAACTGAAAGTCATTCAATTACTATTTACTAATCACTGAACAGTGATCCAAATATCTTTCTAACAGAGGAAAGCAACCATTTTTCGGTTGTACTAGGATGGCACAAAAACAATAAAAAATAAAATAAAATTATTGACCATCGTCCTTACATTTGTCATTACATAATCTATGCAGTTCAGAAAGCATCATGAAATTAATTAAGAAACGTAAAGATCTGGAACATATATATGTACATGAATAGTGTTGCTTTTTTCTTAGATACCTGGTCTACTTTATGTGTTAATGTTGTGTTGCAGTGGTAATTATGAGTAATGAGGTTGGATATGTAAGGGAGAAAACAAATGTGAAACATTGTGAGATTTCTACTCACATGTAGGGGCTTATGGAGACTATACAGAATTTCAGGATATTCAGTTGCGGTTAGAATTTAACCAAATATAGGTGCATGTCAGATATGAAAAGAATGGTGACTCTGTAAAATTTGGTAATGAATAGTTGTGATATATTAATTGTGTTTAGTGCAATATGCAATCTTTCAAACCTGTATATTTATAGCGTGAGTCAAATGTCAGAGAAGTATTATGTGAGAAAGTAGAATTGCAAAAAGCCATCAAAATATTCTTTAAACTTTATCAAGTGGCCAATCTGAAAACCTTTATTTTGGTATAAAAAATTTTACACTGGGCTGTAAGTACCATAATATTTGATTTTTGTATGTTGTATGTTAAACGACAATTATTGATGTTGGGAAAATAATAATTTGCGCATTCAGAGCAGGTTTATCATAGCACAATGCTCTAGTTCCATATTCAGTACATACTTAGTTGAAATCTTCGTCTAGTTACCACCTCACAAAAGTCTGTGAGGCCATGACTACCTTCTTCAAAATTCGTACCTATTCACCATTCATGGTAATTATATGTTACATAATCTCTGTAGTTGTAAGAACATTATAAAATGTTGAAGAATAAATAAATAAGAGTTGTATAAATGAAATTTAACTTCATACTTTGCAGGAATGTAACAAAATATTATGGCAAATTTTTGGCTGTGAATAAGCTCTGTTTGGGTGTCAAGAAAGGTGAATGCTTTGGTTTGTTGGGCGTTAATGGAGCTGGCAAAACAACTACATTCAAAATGATGACAGGGGATGAGAAGATAAGTGCAGGAGAAGGTTACGTCAGTCATTTGAGCCTGAAGTCAAATATGAAAGAAGTAAGTGATTTGCATTGATTGATGAGCATGGTGCACAATGTAGCACAAAAATAAATCAGTGTTCTGAGAAATAAATTGTAAAATAAAACCTCTTTACCTTTCTGATATTAGAACCTGAAGGTCCAACACCACTAATACCGAAGCCTGCCACTGGACATGAACCTAAGCCAGTTCTGTCACTTTTCATCCTCACAACCTACTAACCCAAGGTATCAATTTTAATTTTATTCTTCAATTTCCTTCTCAGACTTCTGAGTGGAAATTTTAGAAAATTCTGCATGCATTTCTTGCAATTTTACCCTATCTACTTTCCCAGCCCATTATATGCTGTTCGGTTTCATTAAAAAGGTAAAAAATTACAAAAATAAAAATAAAGCTATCCCTGTCAGAGGCCATGAAGGCCCATAGGGTTGTGAGATATCGAGGCTCCCACATTTTCTAGACAATCAGCTTACAGATAGCGGTGAGGTTGTCAGTTTTATGTGCCAGCCACCCTTTACTCCACAGGAAGATTCACAATTCTAAAAATACTAGTCCATTTGTTTTATTGAGCACAATTACCAATTTTATTTAATTTCTTATGCACTGAATTATCAGCAGACTTAAATTTTTTGTTAAAATGAAAACTCTTTGACACTGACTTGCACTCATGAAACATGCCATAGCATTACATGCTTGCTTATCGTCACTGAACTATTCTTATAAACAGCTTGAGAAATGAAAAACCTGCATAACTTTTGTTCTTCTTCTTTTGTTTTGTGTCTTGTTCCCTTTCTTCTTCTCAATGAGTAGCTGGCTCAGGTGATAAAGGGAGGTGCAATTTCGATCTTGGGCAGGATGCTGACTGTTTTGACTGAGAGTTTTTCATGTTTTTCCTTAGTCCCTACAGGCAAACTGGTCATGTCTGCTTCCTTTCCATCCTTTCCATTTCATTGTATATTATCATCTATTTATTTCAACACTGTACAGTGCAAAATACTGACAGCATTTTTAAGTAAACTGTTGATTTATTTATTTTCCTTATTCTGTGGGTTGGGATGAGACTGGGTCCTCTTAGTATGTCGGCCATTAACGGGCCCATTCTACCAGCCCTGGATAATTCATGGCTATGGAGCAGTTGGTGAATGAGAATTGGCAAGGGAAACAGAAGTGCCACTTCCTCCACCACAAATCCCACTTGACCTGACCTGTGATTGAATCTGGGCTGCTATGGTGGGTAGCCAGTAACCAATCAAAACTGCTGATAATATTCTCCTTCTTCTCCAAGCATCAGTTTCATTTTATACTGGTCAAAAGCTAAAAGTGCCCAGACTTTTCTTTCTCCTCACAGTCCCTCCTTTTCAATTTATTTCAGTGTCCTTCATGACAGGTCCAGCAAGCTGATATTTCATTTAAGAATGCTTTCAAAATGATGATAAATTTGAGAAAGACATTTTTATATAAGATGTTAGAATGGATTATATGATTTAACAGTAATGTATATTGACATCCATTCTGTATGTTTAGGTGCATCAGCTGATTGGCTACTGTCCACAGTTTGATGCTCTTCTGGAAGATCTGACTGGGTATGAGACACTCACCATGTTCTCTTTGTTAAGAGGTTTACCTTCAGCAAAGATTCACTATGTTATAAATTATCTGGCAGACGAACTTCTCTTCAAAAAACATCTCAACAAGAAAGTTAAGGAATACAGGTACAGTAATATTATTACATTGCGCTTTGCCAGAATTTTGGTAGAATGATTTTATAAAATACTTAACACAGATCTATCACACGCACCATTTAAATGGCTAATTTAATGACTAATGACTAATGACCATCACTAATTTTGTATTACAGCATCAATACACTAATATTATTTTAGTAGCGGCTCTGCATAGACATGATCTGGAAAAGTCTTCTTGCATCAACAGGGAAATCCAGACTTTCAATAGAAAATTAAGAAAATTGACCAAATTTATGTCACATGTAAAATTGCTGGATATCGCTTTAAATAGGGAAGACTTTACCCGTCATGGAATGCACCTGAATTCCAAAGGGAAAGAGAATGTGGCAAGAGCTATCGGACAGTGTATAAATGAACAGTTGATTAGACAGGTTAACAATGTAATAACGTTACCCTGGGATAGGGTTAATCAATATCCTATTTCTGTGGCTGATACTGTGGACCCTGCTAGATCATGTGCATCTGCAGTTATATTAGATAATTTGAGAATGGACCCTGCTAGATCATGTACATCTAAAGTTATATTAGATAATTCGAGAGTATCTACTAGATCTAGAAAGCCACCTATTACGAGATCAAATGATTTTTTATGGGCAACCAATTAAATTCAGCTAAAAACAAATTAACTATTATACATCAAAATATTCGGGGAATTAAGAACAAAGTTGACGAAATCTTAATCTCTCTAATGGATATTACACCTCAAATCATTTGCATATCTGAACATCACATGAAATCAACTGAGATAGAAAATGTAAATTTTAATCAATATATTATAGGTAATTCCTTTTGTAGACAAATTTATAGTCATGGAGGAGTATGTATTCTTATTCAAAAAAAAATTCAATTTAATAGTATTAATTTAGATCAATATAATAAAGAAAAAGATATAGAAACTTGTGCTTTAAAATTTAAATTTATGTCCAAAAATATTATTATCATTTGTATTTATAGATCCCCTGTGGGAGATTTTTTATATTTTTTAAATCAGCTGGAATCATTACTAAATAAGATATATAATCCTACAAATGAGATAATTTTATGTGGTGATTTCAATGTAAATTATTTAAATGATAACACTAGGAAAGATTGTTTAAACTCACTCCTTGCTTCTTTTAATCTCTGTAGTATAGTTAATTTTCCGACTAGAATTTCTCATAATTCTTGTACTTTAATAGATAATGTCTATATTAATAGCGATTTTCATGAATTTTCTGTTTATCCACTTATAAATGGTATGTCTGACCATGATGCTCAGGTCATTGTTTTTAATAATATCACTGTCACAGCCCATAAACAGATATTTTACCAAAAAAGAGATATTAATAGCTATTCTATAGATCAATTTAAGTTTTTATTAAGTTATGAAAATTGGGAAGAGGTTTTTTTGGAATCTAATGTGAATATAGCTTTCAATAAATTTTTGAACATATTTCTTAGAATTTTTTATTCATGTTTTCCCATAAAAAATTTTCGATATCCACATGCACAGAAACCATGGGTAACATCCGGTATTAAAGTTTCATGTGCAAATAAAAGAACACTGTATCTTGTTTCCAGAAGCAGTAGCAATCCTAATATCAAAGAACACTTTAAAAAGTATTGTAGAATCTTAACTAGGGTTATAGTGGCAGCCAAAAAATTATATTATAATACACTTATACTAAAATCTAATAACAAGACTAAAACTACATGGAATATTGTGAAAACTATTACAAACAAAAAAGGATCTGTTGATAATATAATTAAGATAAAAACAAATGATAAATTGTCAGAAAATCCAATTGATATTGCAGAAACTTTTAATAATTACTTTTCATCTATAGCTGAAAAATTACTCAACAATAAATTTTATAAACAATCTCCTGATAATAATAAGGATTTTTTATATTATTTACATCAAAATTCACACCAGTTATTTCCAAAAATGAACTTTAGTAATACTAATTCTTATGAAATTAAAAAAATAATATTGTCAATGAAACCGAAGAATTCTCATGGCTATGATGAAATATCATTGAAGATTATGAAATCTAGTGCCCCGTATATCCTGTCTCCCCTAACATATCTATGTAATAAGATACTATTAACTGGTATTTTCCCAGATAGGCTTAAGTTTTCTGAAGTTAAGCCTCTCTATAAAAAGGGTGATAAAACTGAAATCTCTAACTATAGGCCAATCTCACTTCTTCCAACTTTCTCTAAAATCATTGAAAAGATTATTTATAGAAGAATTTATTCTCATTTAAATAGGAATAATATATTGGCCAAGGAACAGTTTGGATTTAGAAAAGAATCATCTACTGAAATGGCAACATATAATCTTTTAGATAATATATTAACTTCTTTGGACAAAAAAGAATATGTGGGTGGATTATTTTGTGATTTACAAAAGGCTTTTGATTGTGTAAATCACAATGTCTTACTGGAAAAATTGAAATTTTATGGAATCTCGGGTTCAGCAATAAAACTAATGAAATCATACCTTGAAAATAGATATCAAAGAACGATTATAAATGATAATAATTTGAATAAAGTATCCTCTAAATGGATGATGGTCAAACATGGAGTGCCACAAGGCTCTGTACTGGGACCACTATTATTTCTTATTTACATTAATGATTTCCCATCTTCCTTAAGAAAACTAGCTCAGCCTGTATTATTTGCTGATGACACAAGTATTATTGTATCTAATTTGAATCCTGAAAAATTTAGAAGTAATGTTACCTTAATTTTTAATGAAGCAATGATATGGTTTAAAAAAAACTTTTTAACTCTAAATTGTGATAAAACACAGTTTTTACAATTTTTCCTAAAGAAGCATAGAGAAATAGAAATCCAAAGTACAATTACTAATACATTAATTACAAATATTAATTGTTCAAAGTTTTTGGGAATAAATATAGATAGTTCATTGTCATGGAAAAATCACTTAACTTTATTATCAGTAAGACTAAGCAAAGCATGTTTTGCAATAAGGGCAATAAAACCCTTTATGTCATTGGATACAATAAAGACGATTTATCACTCTTATGTGCATTCAATATTGAAGTATGGCATTATCTTTTGGGGTAATGCCCCTTTTAGTAAGAACATTTTTAAAATACAAAAAAGAATCATAAGAATTATGTCTGGATCAGGAAAATATGATTCTTGTAGGGAATTGTTTAAAAAGTTACAAATATTGCCACTCCAATCTGAATATATTTTTTCTTTGCTTCTCTTTGTTATTAAGAATAAAAATTATTTCAAATTTAATACAGAAATACATAATATTAATACCCGTTATAATTACAATTTACACTTACCCTTTACAAATTTATCAATTGCACAAAAAGGAGTCCTGTTCTCTGGAAGCAAATTGTATAATAAATTACCTTTGAATATTAAATCATCATCTGGAGAAATTAAGAAGTTCAAATTTTTATTGAGAAGATATCTCACTGAACATGCATTTTATAGCATTGATGAATTTTACCAAACTACTTCCCGATGAATATTTTTATAATACTTTATTAATAATTTATTTTTTAACACACGATTACATTAAATTATGTAAATGATTTCAGACTATTGTATGACTGTGACAGGTATATATGATATTTAACTGGTATGTGAGGCGTTATATTTATTGCTTATATTTATCTTGAAACTAAAGCGCATAATAATCTTTTGTACTTAATATATTTTGGGTGGAATTGTATATAGAAGATTCATGTTACTGATAATTTAAATTCTTTGTTTTAATCTGTTTGTATTTAATGAAATTGTTATTACACTGTGTACTATTTTATATCGTTTTTATTGTTTATCTTGACTGTTTCAATGTTTGGAACTTATTTTAATATTATTATTGACATGTTCTATATCCAGGGTTGTATTTCAACCTATGTTTTGGATTTACTGAATTTGAAATAAATGAATGAATGAATGAATGACCTATGATGCTGAAAAAGAGTATGTTAATATATCTTCAGGTGCTCAGCATAGCTTCCAATAAACTTCAGATTATTGTACATAAATTGTTTTGATACAAAATTATTAATGGCTTGTCTAAGTAATATCATTGTTCTCAAGATCTGTGGCAGTCACATGCCAAGGGAGATGTGGATAATGGTTTGCTAAAGAAGAAGCTAATTGTTTACATTCTTTCAACAGAAACACACATGTGTTGTGTGAACGAAGATCACAACTATTTCTCTTTTTTATAATATGTTTATTTTTTCTTGATCTGTGACTTCTTTTATCCTTTGTTCCTGTTAATGAAATTTTCCCTTCTTGCTAGTGGTGGTAACAAGCGCAAACTTAGCACAGCAATAGCTCTCATAGGAGATCCACCTGTTATATATTTGGATGAACCAACCACAGGCATGGATCCTGCTGCTAAAAGACATCTTTGGAATGTGATATGCAAAATCAGGGATAGTGGTAGATGCATCATCCTTACATCTCACAGGTAAGCTCTCCAGATTAATAAACAAATTGTCACAGACATTTGTCTATTTTCAGAAACAATTTTATTTTATATCCACTTCCCCATGTGTTCTTGAAACTGAGATAAAATTAATTCACAAGATGCCTTTGATTTAAGTATTGATAGAAATTAATAAGTCTGTAAGACAGTTGAACTACAAATGACACAAACTCCGTCCCAAGTGCAAACAATATATATTATATGTCTTTGATCTTGCTCTCTTCTACACTACATGTTTCGGCCTCTATCAGCCATCATCAGGTGTATACTCTTACGTTACTGCCACACTGAACCCAGTCTAAAATTTAACATTTAAAAAACACATTGTTATTTTCTTTGTTATTATCAACATCTACCTCGTTGATATCTGTCTGGTATGTAGATTATTTTGCACACTTCAATTTTGGTTTTCCTGTAGTAGCACTATAAAATCTTTAGTTATAATTTAGTTATAATATATATTGTTTGCACTTGGGACGGAGTTTGTGTCATTTGTCACGTAGAGTGCAACAGGATGCTTAAATATAATATTGTAAACAGTTGAACTGATGAAACAGAGTCTGCTTGGCTGTCATGGTTCAATATGACCAATGCTTGGGGCTCACATTTTCTGCTGTAGTTCCTATTGATATTAAGATATATTAATTCAAAATATTTGTCAACATTTTCTGCTTCATATTTTGTTTATATGGGTCGTTGTTATTACTTATTAATCAGTTTTTGTAAAACAGCATGACAAAATTGTGTATCTCAAAGCTTAACAGTAAGAGTGCAAATATGACAAGTTTTCAAATAGTAAAAATTTATAAGAGAAACTTGCAGCATCAACCTGACAGCAATTTCCACAATTCTTTCTGTATGTAATTCATCTGGCAAAGCTTCTACATCTCTGAATACTACCAAGCTCCTTCCTTTATTGCACACTTCTATAAGTAGCCAAATGTCCAGAGTTCTTAGAATTCCTAATATTAAGATTTTATACAATTTTTTTATTCTTCTGTAAAGGCTTAAGTTGAATTTTGTCAGCAGTTATATATATATTTTTCCATGGTCAGATGCTATTAAGCACTTAAGTCTACTTCTTACACACTGAAAGTTTCAAGTGGAAAACTGTCCAGAAGTCCAGAAGTAATGAGTAATGACAGCTCGTTGATATGTAGGTCTTCATTCAACTTATGCCCTTTGTAATGATATAGCCCTTCTAATTACTTCTAGTCATTATTAATCATCATTAGGGAGGCCATTGAGATTGAACTCCATCCCGACAATATGAACAGAGAGGTGGGGTTTTGTCTCAGCAAGTCATGGAAGCCTCTCATCTGTTCCCTCAAGTAACCTCCGAAATAAGGCAGACATATAGGCCACTCAGGTCCATTGCAGCCCCCAAGCTACAGGGTTAATGCCCTCCATTTAACCTTCCCTTCTGTCCCCCTCCCCCTAACACATACTCTATACCAGCTCTGGCCCACTACCTGCTGGCTATTCCACCAGACCCTTCCCCTCCCCCTCTCTACTATTCTATGTAGCCACACTCCTCTCCTCTTATACAGCTGTGTTTAATCGACTGGACTCAGTCTGTTGCACCTGCTCTTCTGGTTTGCTTGCGGATTTCTTCTTGTCTTCTACCCTGAAGACGGAGGTGGTATGTTCCTCCGAATCGTCGGTTAACACATCCCAGAAGACGGCTTTCTTCATTATTAATATTGTTTTTTTCAGTATGGAAGAATGTGAAGCTCTCTGTACCCGTCTCGCCATAATGGTGAATGGTTGTTTCAAGTGCCTTGGCTCAACACAGCATCTTAAAAATAAGTTTGCAAAGGGCTATACGCTGATTGTGAAAACCAAGAAAACACCTAATTTACTGGCCAATGGTAGTACCACAAGTAATTATAGTGTTCCTTCGAAAGGCATTGATTCATATGATCTGCAGCCTGTCAGGCAATTTGTTGCTGAATCATTTCCTGGTAAGTGAAAATTTGTTCTTAAATTATGCAGTCAAGGATTTGAACCATATTGCTAGCTGACATGCTAATATTTCAGATACTGTGTGAGATCTGGTGTTTTCATCATAGTGATTATGAAGATTTGTTTATGGTCTATTTAATTGTCAGTAGCACAGACTATACAGCTATACAGCTAAAATGTTGAAAACCTCTGGCAGGCAGTGGATATTAACAATAAATTGAGGAAAAGCCTTCAGTTGCAGAAACTTAGCATTGAGATATTGACAGATAGAATAAACGTCAAATAACAAGGGAATGAAATGGGGATTCTCCTGTCATTCAGCATTCACTTGTCTTAATTTATGTATATAGCATGATATGCCATCAGGTTTAGAGGGAAGAAGTGGCCTCAAGATAATAAAAGTAGTCATGGACATATTGACTAATATGGCATGGGTAACTAGAAAATGGTGGTTCTCCAGCCTGAGGGTTTGGTGTAGCAGTAAATGATCTTTCTGAAATTCCACCCCTCCCTTTTCCTAAATTTAAATATACTATTTTCTGCGTTGTAATGCCATGTAGTCTTGCCGACTTCTACTGGGATACATGAGGTTACATCCCAGATGATAGTAGTCATCACTGCAAGAACCTCAAATCCAGCACTTTTCAAATTCTTTTGGTTAATGAAATCATGCAATAGGCTGTGAATGTAGCTACATTCAGAAAACTAAATAAACCATAACGATTTCTAGTGCAGAAGTATTTTAGAAACAGTCACTTAGAAATCTGAGAAGGTTACTGGAGAATGAGATGAAAATGTACATTAGGGAACGAGATTGTGAGGATGGAGGTGGATGAAATTGGTTCAGGATCATGTTCAATGATGGCCTTTGGTATTAACAGTATTAAACTTTTGGAAATTACTACCAGAAAGAAATTTTTAATTACTTATGGTGTAAGATATTATATACTGTTTGCATCTTAATGAGGATGGATAAATATTGAGATATCATTGCCATCCTTTTCTAAAATTAAAAAAAAAATTGATATGATTTTCATAGTCAACATTATCATAATCAGTTTTCTCCATGTATTTTATCTCAAGTGAGAAATTGAGATTTAGGTTCTTATTCTGTGACTTCTGTAGGTTGATAATTTCATGGTGGTCGAACTGAGCAAGCTCACTTAAGTGGTAACACTTCCGGCTTGTATTTGGAGTGTGACTGGTTCTGGGACAGGTTATAGGATATCTCGACTGAGATGTTTCGTGATTACCTCAGTCATTCCAAGAAAATGCTGGGTTAATGCCTGAAATTAGGCCACAACTTCCTGCTGACACATCTTTACAATTCATTATTCATTATTCTTTCCAATCAATGTATTATCTGAATTACTAACAGTATTATTAAATAAGTTAAGAAAAAATACTGTGATAGAAGTAAGCCTGTGAAATTGTCTATATCTCTAATTTTTTTTATTGCTAGTGGGGTGGGACTAAGTCCCTTGTACTGCGGCCACTTCTGGCCTATTGTACCAGCCCCAGATGATAGGTGAGGGTGATTGTGGAGCAATTGGTGGAATGAAGATTGGCAGGGGAAACCGAAGTACTCGGAGAAAACCTGCCCCAGCGCCACTTTGTCAACCACAAATCCCACTTGACCAGACCCGGGATCGAACACGGGCTGCCGCAGTGGGAAGCCAGCGACTAACCGCTTGAGCTATGGCACGGCCCATCCATATCCCTAACTGATAGTGTCACAGATATCTAGGTCCCAACAAATGCAAAGTATAATTTACATCTGTGAAGAATACATAAGGAGACTGAACAGTTGATACAGTGAGGTGGGTATTGGCATGTTTGCAGGGGCTATGCAAATGGAGGAATACCAGGGTCTCCTAACATACTGCATTACGAATCCAACATTAACCTGGGCAAGGATGTTCGGCATGATGGAGAAGGCAAAACACCAGCTCAACATTGAGGATTACTCTCTAGGGCAGACCAGCTTGGAACAAGTTAGTTCATTCATGGAATAACCACTTCCAAATTTAGTATGTCTCTTACTTAAAAAGAAATTTGTCTTTTTCTGAAGGGCAGTGAAGATGTCAAATGTTATGATAATTAATAAGGGACATATTTTTCAACACATTTCAGCATTTATTATTTCCATTAACTTTGTTATGTTTCATACGATATTAGTTTGGATTGTATTCACGTTAGATTTTAGTCATAATTCTTTCAGGTTCAATACTGATACTAAGATATTTTGTATTATATGCTCACATTCACATCTTCACTGCTTCATCTCGTTCAGGACTGGATTTAACTTCACATTTGCAAAATCTATTTTTTGTTGATTGGTATTCTAGTACTGGTTAAATAATATATTGTAAATACAGTCCTGTGGAAGGTAATTTCTCTCCTCCCCTCATCTACAGAGTAGGATAATATCCAAAAACAAGTTTTGGACACCTTTGACATAATTTTCACAAATTCATCATCATTGCAAACAATTCTGAGTTTTATTTGTGCTGAATTTCTTTTTCCTTCTAACAGCTTCTTCCAACACTTACAAAAAAGCAACGGTGTAATTTAGTAATATAATTTTAATAATTTATTACCCTGTTGTTATTTTTTGTAATTCTTAATTCCCTCACCTGAAATCTAAGATAATGCCTACAACTTTTTTCTTCAACTATATATTCACAGTCATGGTAAGGAGATTTGTCTTTACTGATATATAAACTTTTATTTTGGCAGGTTTTTCTAACATTTACAAAGAAGCAAAGAGAAGAATGATACAGAACTGAACACTAGATACAGATAATGTGATACTGTGATATCCAAGCAGAGGTGTACTGATAATACTTCCTGCATCAGTTACCAGTTCTTCAGCAGCAATGCAACTTGAAAGTTTTTGTTTCAGGGATGCTCAGGGAACCATTCTAATCTTCATTACCCTGAGTGCAAAAATGGTATATGCAATGTTGTAGTCTAGCAACTTGAGTGCCATATATACACAGTATATCATTATGTTGATATATTGCTTGTTACAGTATTTGATCTGACATAGAATATAGGACTGTGTGTCAACGCCCATGATTTTTAGAGTTGAGAACAACCACATGGATAATAGGCGATGGTTCAAGTAACTACGTAGGTCGTACTGAAAGTCATGAGCAACAATTTTTTATAAAGTAACATGCTTTATTATTGACAAACCAAATACGCCACCTCAATCTACAGACCTTTCTTTATTTTTCCACATAATCACCACTTCTGTGTACACATTTCTCCCAGCGTTCTGGGAGTTTGAAAATTCCCCTTCTGTAAAATTCCGTTCCAGCCATCCAAAGACACTGACACACTGTTTTCTGAATTCAGCGTGCTTATGGAAGTGTGTGCATGGGTGCGAGCAGTGTTCGAAGATGGGTGAAACATTTTAAAGATGGGAACACCAGCATCGAAGATGAGCCTCGGAGCGTTCGTCCTCAAACAGCCTTAACTGAACGCAACAAGGAAAGAGTGGATGAGATCCTTCAAGATGACATGCGTGTGACTGTGGACACAGTAGCCCAAAAACTTGGAATAGGGCACAGTGCAGTACATGAGATGATTGAAAGTTTGGGCTATAGGAAAGTTTGTGCTCATTGGGACCCGCGGTTATTGACCGAAGACCACAAAGGTCACATTGGAAGCAATTGCAAAGATGGGGTGGGAAGTTCTTCCACACCCCTCCTATAGTCTTGATCTGGCACCCCCCAACTACCATCTTTTCGGATTTGTGAAGGATCAGCTGCATGGACAACGTTTTGAAACAAGGGAGGCAATTCAGAAAGCTGTGTGTCAGTGTCTTCGGATGGCTGGAACGGAATTTAATAGAAGGGGAATTTACAAACACCCAGAATGCTGCGAGAAATGTGTACAAAGAAGTGGCGATTATGTGGAAAAATAAAGAACAGTCTGTAGATTGAGGTGGTGTATTTGGTTTGTCAATAATAAAGCATGTTACTTTACAAAAAAGAATGTTGCTCATGACTTTCAGTACGACCCTAGTAAACCAAAATAATCACTTCATCAGAAAACGAAGGAGGCAGGAATGTGATTTCTGCAATCCTAATATTGTAAAGACTATGAAAGAATCTAAAAATTCTTTTCCCAGGCAAGTACAAGTGTTGTCATAGCCATGAAAATCCATCCACAGAATGGTCTTAAAGTCACTGTGTATTTATACTGTTACATCTAATATTTATCTTTGTGTACAAATATAACCTTCACAATTTCCTTCAACTTAAGTAGATCATCACACATTTCACTGAAAACATCCCTCTGATTGAACTGATAAATATCTTTGAAAACAGTATGTACATCAGGAAATATCAGGAAACCACTTTCACTGTCTTTTACAACTCAGGTAAGTAATGTACTATGTCCTTTAGCAATGGAAATTGGCAGTGTAGTGGCAATTGGTGAACAGGGACTTCAGGATTGCTTTCTATAATTCAAGTGGCTCTTGCAGATGTTTCTGGAAGCACTACATAATTCTGTAGCTCATGCTATGAAGTTATCTCTTGCAAAATATAACTTCTATAAAGGTCATTAATGAATTATGAAATGTCTGTTCATATCTGAGTGATTATTTAGTTGAATCTCTTTTTGAGAAGATTCAGAGCATCTGGTTCAGAATATTCCAGTTACCCTGTTGCATATAGTGTTTTTATCATAATTTTCTTGGTGTTAACACAGTTTTTACATAAATCATACTATAGTGAACTCTTGTCAGGTGATAAGCCACAATACAGAATAGAAATCTGATATTTCAGAATCTGTGTTGCCATTGTCAGAGATACTGAAGCCGTTTCTGTAAGTGTATTGATCACTTGTGTCACAAATGGCATCAGTCCCTAATGATATAGACAGCTTCCAGTGTCATATTTTAGTTCCATATTGATGCTTCTAACTGCCTGAGAAGAATATATTGCATGTAGTCATCATGAAAACCTCAGATCTTACATGGAAACTGTGCTGTAATTGAATCACGGTGTGACAGTTCCTAGGACATTGTACTAATCCATATTATGGTGATATATGTGTATACAGAAACGGAATTGAGGTTCTGTTACTTGCATTTACAGTGGATTTTGTCAAATGTGACATAAATATCTCCATTAAAACTTAAACTTTTGGGAAAGAGTCAGAAATGATACAGAGTGATTCACTTGGAGGAGACCAAGATGTAATAATTGAAAATCACACAATAATTCACCAATGAAAATTAAATTTGAAAAGTACATACCTTGATAGATATGGAGATAATTGGAGCACAGGAGATTTTTAAATCAGTTTTGTTCTCCCTGGAGACAAAGACTGACACAGTATTCCATCTTTGTGAATGTTTATGCCAACATGGCAGGAGAGATTACAACAATTTCATTGGTAATATCTTGTTTTCGTAAGTAAATTACTGCATAATTTACAATTTATTAACATGGTACCTCCCATGAGTGGAACACCCATAGTTTGAGTGTCTATTGGAGTACCATGAACTGCAAGAATGTAGATCATATTCTGACAAGACAAGTAGTGCTAAAATCATGTGACAGTGCTAATCAAGAGTGATAGGGGTGATAAGTTAGGAAACCCAGATGAGTAAAAAGGAATGGAAATAAAATTTTCATTCAGAATATCAGTTGTAGATGAATAATAAACGTATAAATATTCCATTCATTACAGTAACAGCTGCTGATATGAAAATTCAAAATGTGGAACTAGGCCAATATCAGGTGACTGGATCTGATAGGGGTTTCAGAGTGGATACCAATAATTACCATTAATTTCCCTTCTCCCACACACTCATTAGTACCTCCTATATTTTCCAAGGGTTCAGAAGCTGTTTTTAGCCATATATTTCGCTGTTAACAACATACATTTTAATAAGGAAATATATTCAAATATTGGCATCACACTCAAGGTAACTGTGTACAACTTGTAAACAAAAGAGTTAAATCTAAATATTCTGACAGGAGATTATGATTATTGTTTTCTATGTTGTCCATCACCTTGAGTTTCTTCAGACACAAGATTCTAGAAACCGTATCTGTTTCTGTGATCGCGTGTAACATAGAGAAGGTAAGTAGGAGCCTTTCGTCACTTAACACCTGATAACAGAAACATATCTGCTTTTGGACATTTTTGTTGTAAAAACTCAAGACAGTGGACAACATTCAAAATAATAATCATTTATTGAAATGAAAGAGTTATTTATTTTAAGTCACATAGGATAAACTCTTTATTTAAAATGTAAAATGTAAGGTTAATTTTTCTCGACAATATAAATTTGTATAGATCACTGGTTTTTCAAACTTCATGTACAACATACATGTTGTACAAAATAAATGTCTTAATCCTTATGATTCAAGTAGTTACTATAGGATTCTGACGATGGTGTATAACACACTGATATATTGGGTTTTTGGACTTTATCCATCATCTTGGTTTTTAAGATAACTAATAAAAACACGACGTTTCGGAAACTTGATCTGTTTCCATCCTCAGGTGAAGGAAAACACCTATTCTGTTGGGTCCGTTAGAAAGAGCTAGCCTCAATTACTGGACAAACCGACGCAAACCTAAAAACCTAGGACAAACCTAAAAACCAAGACGATGGATAAAGTCCAAAAACCCAATATATCAGTGCCTTATGATTCAGTTATGCCATTTTGTTTAGTGGCATATAGGTACTGTCTTTAGCTGTGATGAGGTTCTGTAAATAACATTTCAACAGCCAGAACTTTATTAGACTGATGCAGAGGCAGCAGCAAGCAGGGGAGTCTATATGCAACAGATATCACTTCCAGCCAATAAAGTTTCAACATCATCATCATAGGTTTCATTTAAACACACATTATAAAAATGAGCTGAACATAAGATCTCTGCGTTAGTTGCAAGCATTCACACAGTGTCATTCTAGAATTAATCACTTCACATAAATATAAACACAACATCCAGCACTGGTACTCCATGGCACATGTACTGGATATAATTACACTGAAACACTACTATCTCGACTCCATTCTTGAGAATATTGCCATGTGTTGGGGTGTGTGACTATAGATGGGGTTCGGACTGGTGAATGGATTTACTGACCACTTCTTTTTTATTATTGCTAGTTGGGTGGGACTAAGTCCCTTGTACTGTGGCCACTTCTGGCCTATTGTACTAGACCCAGATGATAGGTGAGGGTGATTGTGGAGCAATTGGTGGAATGAAGATTGGCAGGGGAAACCGAAGTACTTGGAGAAAACCTACCCCAGCGCCACTTTGACCACCACAAAACATGCGCGTATTGGAATGCAATGTTGTGTCAAAATTTCAAAGCAATTGGTGAAAAACTTTCGGAGGTTTAAGATCAGGACCAAACGAACAGTTACATTTTTATTTATATAGATTTACAGTATGTCTTGCATCTATTAGGTATACACACTAACAGCAATTCTATGACGGCTTTAGCAATGGATGATGTGGGTGCACGTTAAAAAAAATACATGGTCATTATATTATAAAGCTGTTTCTAATTGGAAAATCAAAACTCTTGATAACACTAAAAATTTATTTGTTCAACCTCATACAACCTAATTACAGACTTATGTGAACAAATCTTCAATCTACTTTATTCAAAGATTCTACAATTTCACTGCATGATGCAACATCAATGGGTAATGCACCATCTACGTCAGTAACATTAGGGTCTGCCCCATTATCCAAAAGAAATTGGACAACATCTGCATGTCCACAGGAAGCTGCATAATGCAATGCTGTCTGTCTGTCTCCATCCTTCATGTCAACATTCACCATTACATCATTAACCAAACATTTTAACACTGCAAGATTTCCTCGATCAGCTGCCCAATGAATGAGCCCCATTCCTTCTGAATCTATAATATTAGGATCGGCTAATGAAGACTTCTGAGAAAACTCCTGAACTTTTTCTACGTTACCCTCTTTTACCCAATCAAAAATTGTTTTATCTGCATCATCTAAATGCTCATCTGTGTTGGACAAACGGCTAACCGCAACCCAACCATTTTTCCCACCATTACCTCCATTTCCTTCTGAACTTAAACTTGCCTCTCTCCAGCCATGATCTAGCTCTGAAATTAGCTGTATGTAACTTTTCATTGCAGCCTCACACGTCATATCTCCTAACACACGCCATGCTTCCCACTTCTGCTTGGCTTGCATCTCATACCAGCAGGGTTTAGGAGTATTACATGGTCCCTCTGTAGCCTGCTTATAAAATCCATATAGCTCTAGAAGGTGCTTACTTTCTAACTTACCAATGATTGATTTTAAATGATTTGCAGCCTTTTCAAACATATCTGACAGTTCAGATATGTCATAATCTGCTTCTGCCATTCTTAGTTTATAATCAGATTAATCTACTGAACTACAGTACAGTGTACAATTACGTTACTGTAACATTCAAATATTAAGAAATACAATCTGATATTCTAGTAGCAGTCAAGCAAGATTAATTGCCAGCAGGCTGAACTGAAAGCATATTTCCTTCTAACACATGGCTTTGTTTACCTGTAGCATTATCATAACCTCCTTGAGTACTGAAAAGCACAAAACCATAACCTCGCGACATACCAGTGTTACGATCAAACACCACTGTGGCCGAAACCACGTGACCAAATTCTGAGAAGTATGCCTTCAGTTCACGACTACTAATTGTCCATGGCAAGTTACCTACAAAAAGCTTATTAATTGCCCTTGCAGCCATTACTTATATGCGAAAAAATCTTGCCCAAGAGTCAGGTCGTAGAATTAAACACGTGTTATTTCTAAAAGATGGATTGTATGATCATCCATTAACTCATTAATGTCTATCCCTGATTCAGCTCCCAAATTATTGAGAGGAATATGTTCACACCTTAGTTGCCACTTATGAAGCAAATGTTCAATTGACCAATCAGCACTCCTTTCCTGATAGGTACAAAGGAACTTTGCCTGAGGATTTTTTTCTAACAAAAACGCAACTGTAACAATAATATCTTCGAAGAGAGATGGTTCATAAAAGCAGTCTGATCCTATAATAAGATCGATTGGACCCAACGTAAAGATATTTCCTAGAAATAATCCCCAAGTAAGTCCAAGCACGCGAACTTGACTAGGAAGAAGGCCATTCACTTCACAGCACCGTTGCACGTGCTGGAGGCTCTTCGGAAGACTCGCACAATCGGTTAACGTCACAGCAGCTCCACACTTTGCAGCTACAATGCCTGGCAGGGCTGTTCCTGAACCAAGTTCCACTATATGTTTTCCCGGCAGTTCACGTCGGTGTTCCCAGAGAAACCAAGCTAGAACTGGAGCTGAAGGCCACGTGTAGAAACTGTAACTTGCTTGCAGTTGCTGTGAAATTACGAAATTGGAGTTAACTAAACACATAGGTTATTGTAGCATGCGGTATACCTTCCAATGGAAGAATCGATCATGCATATCAATTTTGACTTAATACCTCTGGAATAAACACTTCTAAAGATTCTATGTCGTTTTCTCCGGGCCTGTTACTTCTTGACTTGAAAAGAAACTTCTTTACTTGCTCGGCTACTCCATCGGACATTGGAAGGCATTACAGGAAGTTATAGCGATAAAGACTAAATGTTGAGATAGTAATCTTCCCTCTAAATTGTTCAACATTGTGCTTAATATATATAATTATTAATTTCTTTTATGCTATTTGATATTATATATTTTTATGTTAAGTAAACATATATATTTATTCAGACAATTTGACTGATGTGCGACAGGTAAACATGGCCGTCAAAAGTGAAGTGAAATGTGGAGTTGCAAGGAGAAAATCGTCTCAGGCCGTCACATTCTGTATTAAAGAGGAAAGGAATGCTTCATATAAAAAGGTATACGTTACTTTATATAGAAATTTAACTCAGATATTGTTAATATAATTACAGTGACTGTACATACAAGAATTTACAGCGTCACCATTTATGGACACGGTTGCTTGATACTAGAGAGTAGGTTATTTCAATTTTGAATTTAAAGCACCACATTATCGAATAGACGTTTTTCTTGTCAATTGAACTTATATTTCTTCACGTCTCAAGGTATCCTCAATTCTTCAGAAAGCCGAAACTGATAGAACGGATGAAGAAAAGGAAATGTTGTTCAGCTGTTCAGAACTTGTCAAAGAAGTCACTAGGAGGTGAGAGAAAACTTCGTAAGGGATATGATATATAAAAGTATTTTAATGGTTATTACAATGACATATACTTACATGTCTCACATCTTATAATTAACAATTCCTTGGTTCTCTCTACCAGATGTGGCCCAAATTATTTTTGGAATTTTGTTAACTAACTCGTATATCATTGAAAAGTAAATCCAGTTGGAGAGTACATGACGAATTGAAAGCTTCTTTTCATGAAGATTGTTTATCCGTAATGCAGTGGGAAACATTAGGTATCATTGGATTTGAGATTCTCACAATAGTGACTATTAAGAGTATTGTCTTCTGGGGTGTAATGCTGTGTAATGTGGTAGAAGTTCACTGAAATTTTGGAGGAACGTACTGCCTCCGTCTTCAGGGTTGAACAACATGCCAAACAACTAGCCAGCAAGAAGCAGTTGGCAAACAGAGTGATTTGCAAAATGAAAAACATGTTGGATGTGGCAAATAAAAGAACATAGAGATAACCAATGGGAGCATTGGGAACCTGGATGAAAGTGAAGGTTCCAGACAGAAGGCATGGGAGGAGAGGAGAGAGTAACTGGTTCTCTCTCTTTTTCTCTCTAGCTCTACAGCCCTTTGGACCTTTGGCCACTTTTTCAGTTTCATAATCCTATACACAGTTGGTGAGACTCCTTGGATGGGGGATCGGCCTGTCACAAGGCCTCTACCTACACACAGAGCAACACAAACACAGAACAAACACACACAGACTTCCATGCCTCAAGTGGGATTTGAACCCACTATCCCAGTGTTTGAGTGGGCGAAGATGGCTCATGCCTTAGACTGCATGGCCACTAATCAGCAGAGTAACTGGTACTGGTCCTTAAAAGCTTCTTGCTGGCTCCATGTTTGTCTGACGCTTCAACCCTGAAAATGGAGGCAGTATGCTCTGAAACATCACTGCACTTTTACTGGACTTACTGGACTATGTGAGGTTACATCCCAGAAGATGGCGTTGTTCGCATCAACCATCAACCTTAAAAGTGATTGAGTGTTCCTGCATATCGTGCACACAGCTCTTTCAGAAGACTCAAATTAAGAATGAAAAGAAGTCTTTGTATATACGTGGCAGAGTCATTAAGTTCGTGGAATGTGGTTTTATCGCATCGTGTTACAAGGTATTCACATACACTTATGCAGATCCACATCGGCCCTCAAAATAGTTGCCGTTGGATGCTATGCAAGTCTGCCAACGTTGATATAGCTGTCGAAAATATTGCTGAAACATATTGGCAGTAAATTCCCATACGGCGTCCCTTGTGACATTGACGACCTCCTCGGATGACTGAAATCTATGACCACGTAGCTTTGCTTTCAAGCGGTGAAAGAGAAAGAAATCGCATGGCGCGAGATCAGGTGAGTATGGAGGGTGTGGCAAAATGATGACCTGTTGCCTTGCCAGTTCGTCTTGGACAAGAACACAGCGATGTTCAGGGGCGTTGTCGTGTAGCAACAGCCAATTCTTCCTATGCCAAATGTTTCGCTAGAGGATTTGCCTAGTTTTTGGCAGAACTTGATGTTTGCCCGTTGTTCAAACTGCCACATTTTCAATTTCCGCCGCTTGCATTTAACTGTAGTTCACAATAGAGGTTGTAGTTCTACTTACACTGTTTGCACACAACTGCATCTTGCTGTGATGAGAGATGAACTGACAGGGTATCATATCGTGCCTCTACCTACCCACTGTAGTGCACTGCAAGGACGCTTTGCGGCCATTCCATGAACTTATTGACTGTGGTAGTATGAAACTTAAGTTTGAAGTGGGTCAAGTAAAGTTATAAATATATTATCTGTGTCCACACATGATCATACCTTGAACGATATCATGATAAGTCTTACTTGTAAAAAATGGTAATCAGTGGATCACTACAGATGTTCAGAATTTGTCCCATTTTTAGCTTACTTTCGTAAAGTAAGCTTATGTGGTCTCCTTCCTGTCTTTGTGTTCCCCCCCTATCTCTTCTAGGCAACGGACTCCTCTCCAACAAAAGGAGGGATTGGCCTTTCAGTGTAGGCATTCGGACTGAACAGAGCAGCAGACATCATCATCCTCTCTCTTGCATTGTGATTGAATATTGTCCGTGTTGAGCTTCAGCATATTACATGTTATCGGACCGAGGAGAGAACACCGGATGTAACACCCAACACATTTCTGTTCTCTCGTAGTCATTTATGTGTTTTAGAAATGTGGTCTAGTGGTCAGAGTTCCTGGCTACAGATCCAGAGGTCTGGGTTCGATTTCCAGCACTACCAGATTTTCTGAGAAGTAGTGGGTCTGGAACGCGGTCCACCCAGCCTCGTGAGGATAATTGAGGAGCTATTTGAAGGAAATAGCGGCTCCAGTCTAAAAAACCGAGATTAACATCCATGGGGATCCGTTGCACTGACCACGTTCCCCTGGCAAGAACTGTTGGGAGGCATTGCTTTCTGTGCGGTCCTTGTCGTATCAAAGGAAAGTGGGTCATTAGTTCTTCCCAGAATTTCCTGTTTTGTTTTTGTTACATATTTCTACTTTTTATATATATATGTAATATAAATGTATTTTCAGAGTGGAAAAACGCAAAAAAGTAAAGGAACGACTTCAGGAAATAGAAGATCCACCTGATGTATTAGCAGAAAAGTGTCATAAATTAGCCGAAGCTATAGCAAATTCTACAAATTTGGTGGTGTATACAGGGGCAGGAGTTAGCACTGCAGCATGCATTCCGGACTATAGGGGAACTAATGGCATTTGGACTCTACTGCAGCAAGGGAAGGATATTGGGTGAGTTCAGATTGGAACAGTAAATTTGGTGACTGTTATTCCAAACATTATTCATTGCCTTGAGTTCTCTCCACTTGCAGTGTGTCTTTAGAATCTGAACTTGAAGTGTGTTATTAATAGTAATGTTTGTTGTTACCATTTGGGCCTGATTGATGTCTCATTTAAACTTTTAAATTTAATAAAAATATGTCATTTGTTCTGTTTGATGGACTCTATCACTTTTGCAAGTGATTGCTTTAGAAACCAGATTTATTTTTATTGTGTAATTTCTGTTTTCTATCTGGAGGTTGGTAGAATACTGCAGCCTTGCAAGTTGTAGAAGGCAACGGGAAGGTAACGTGGTTCCTGGGGATTAAACTGGGACACTATGTCACTGGGGGACATAAATACAGAAATCTGGTCATCCAGATTGGGGGGTTGGACGCAAGGCTGACAACCTTACCGCCATCTTTGAGCTGATTGTCTAGAAAATGTGGGAGCTTCAACATCTCACAACCCTATGGGCCTTCACGGCCTGGTACAGGGATAGCTTTACTTACTTTACTGATGCTTTGGTAGGATTCATTTTCTCAGTATACTGTTCATAAAGGAGCTGGGATAGCGCAGTCGGTATAGTGACTGCCTGCAGGCTGGATGACTGAGGGGTCAGAGTTCAAGTCCCAGTATGGTCAAGGGTTTTCACTTCTCCACGTTGTCCAGACCGAATCTGGAGTCCACCCAACGTCCTATACAATGGGTACCAGGAGGTAAAGTGGCAGGGGTGTGAAGCTGACCGCTCACCTCCAGCTATTGCCAAGGTCAAGAAAATGTGGATCTATACATCCACTCCCCCATACCTCTTTATGGTGTAGTGTTTAATTAGTTAAGCACAGGGGTAACTTTACCAACCTTACCTCTACTGTTCATATGAAATTAAGATACAAGGTATCTTGCTTGCTAATGTTGACTACTTGTTTTTAAAACCCTGGCATGTTTTTGTCGTATGAGAACATCATCTGAGGGATGTGCCTAATGAAAAAAAAACTGCAAGTCACATATATAAAACTAAAGAATTATCATTGTCATATACTACATCATGAGATTGGCAGGGCATGTAGCATACATGGAAGCGAACAAGGCGTGCATACAGGATTTTGATAAGAAAGCCTGAAGGAAAAAGACCACTTGGAAGAACTAGATGTACATGGGAGGATAATATTAAAGAGTATCTTAGAGTAAGGGAGTATGGACTTGTCTGGCTGAGGATAGAGACCACTGGTGGGTTTCTGTGAACATGGTAATTAAAATTTGGGTTCCATGAAATTCTGAGTCTGCTGATTGGCTAAATAACTACTGACTTCTCAAGAAATACTTGGTTCTATGCAGTTAAATGGTTGGTTGTATGGATGATTGGTTAGTTAGTGAGTCAGTCAGCCTGTCATATACTACATTTTCCTCTGCTAAATTCAGGCGTGGAACTTTTTACAGGGACCTTGAAACATAGCACCAGTTGTCATGGTTCTGCTCTTAGGAACGTGGTTATTTCTGTGCCTAATCTGTAGCTAGGCATTATTGGATTTATGAAGGTGAGAAGGCTTGAATGGGCTG